GCAGAAGTACCTACCTTTGCTTCTTCTCCTCCTTCATGGATGTGTTCCCTACTGCCTTTTCCAAAACGTTAAAAATAAAAGGATACAGTAAATAGCCTCAATTAAGTCTCACCCGAAAAATATGTGGAACCAGAAATAAAATAAGCATTGTTAGCCAAATAGAAGTTCTCCCAGAATCCTAAACCTGTTGTTTCTAAAACAGAAATACATTTTGCAAGTCTATTAATCAGCTGCCCAAGATCAGAGGACTCCCGCAGCTGATGGCAATCACAACAAAGCTTGTTATCAATAACAAAGTGAAAAACTGCACCTACATATTTGAACAACACAAGAGAAAAATGAAAAGTTAAAAGATGTGCCCGTGACAACCAGATGTAGGGAAATCATTGGAAGGATACTCTACCTTCCTTCCACTGAGTGGCCATGGTCCCACATTAAAACAAGGGAGAAGAGACTGATATTTTAAGTTATGAATTCAGGGTTCCATGGAACACTATCCAAGCACCTTGAGAACATCACAACTTTCCTTTCTACTGATAACAGTAGGTATTACTGCTTTATATGTTTAGTAGTTTCATATTGCATGCTAGAATCCAGTAAATTCTGAAAGCATTTCTCAAAAGAAAATAGTATCAATGAAGGTAACTAAAGGAATAAATACAAACGTCATTAAACTTATTTTGTGAGTGAAGCAGGGTATAAATCTATATTTTAAAAAATTAGTCCTTTAAGTAAATTGGCAAAACAATCTGATGTCTGGGTTCCAGATTGTCTTTCTCAAAAATAAATGGTTTCCAGTCACTGTGGTGTATGCCTATAATCCCAGCACTCATGAAAGAGAGGTAGAGTAATATTTGTTCAAGATAGTCCTCGGCTAACTAGTGAGTGAGGCCAGCCTGGCTACATCTATATAAATAAATAAACAAATTAATAAAAGACCCCCCCCATTAACAAATAGTCACATAACTTGCATTACCCATTTTAGTGGTATGTATGTGAAACCTTTCTTTTCAAGATCTTTGGAAGCATGGTTAAAAAGCAAAAGCTGCATACAACCGTAGTACGTAATTCAGTATTTGGATATCCATGCACATGGGGGGGGTGGACAGAGGGGGGTGAGGGAGAGAAAGAGGGGAGGGTCATTGACACAACCCGGCTATTCAGCATAACCATCACTTCTCTCCTCCATGTGCAAAGGATGATTAAGATCTTCTATTAAGTATTAAGCACTCTACAGGTAACTGTCGTTATCTTGCTGTAGTACAGAGCTTTAGAACTTACTTGTCCTAAATAAAACTGTGACATCTCCCCAAATGCAGCATTTCTTTCTTCTAGTTTGTAAGACTGTTTCATCCAGTATTTGTATGGAAACCTACTTTAGGCTCCCCCTTTTAAGCCTCAGAAGCTGCAGAGGGCCCAGAGAACTTGGTGGCAAGTGAAGAAATGTATTCCTGGCTTTAAGTTCCCAATGTAATGTTTTCCTAAACTAACTGGCTGGAGAGTACTCATATTACCTCCAAATTGTCACCAGTGGGAAACATAAAACCCAAATGCCTAGAAAACTCATTAAATGTCTCTCTTTGACCAAGAGTTATGTCTCCCTGTTGGGTCTGACTAATAAAAGTTGTAATTAATCTGAAAGGAAGAACTTGGAAAAGACAGAGAGAGCTTAAGTATTTATTCTCAGACTTTTTGACATGGAAGCTATTCCTATTATCATTTGTAAGACAGCTGGGTCAGATACTCCATCAAAAACTTTAATTTCATTAACTTGAATTCATTCTGAAGGTACAGAGTTAGCTACTAGAAAAGCCATGAAATAAATTATATCCTCTGAGAAAAAAGGAAAAGCATTGCCAACCCATAGAAATGGGAGGAAAAAAATTCTATCATCTGATTCAGAAAGCAAGTTTGATACTTAAACACGCAGAAAATAATTCTTCTTTGTAAAATGATAGTAATGTGTGATTATGTTTTCTCATTTCATTGAGAAAAAATTCCTCAGATCTGTTTCAGAATGTAATCTCCATATCTTCAATATTTGCCTGAAATACCTTACGCAGAAAGAAAAAACACTTTATGATACTGTTTAAAGGCTATCAAATAATTCAGTTTCTCTACAGAGAGGCAAAAATGGGACAGGCCATCAAAATTTAGTTCTTGAAGGCTAATATCATTGCATTTCAACAGCTCAGTCACGTGAATTACACCTGCCAGCTTCCAGACTAAACATGACAGTTTCTATTTTCAGTCTACAAGTAGATTGTCATTTCCATTTCCATTTTATATCATAGAAAATGAAGTTTTAATTTAGCTAGTATTAAACAGAAAATCTTGTTTGGGGGAAGGCTTCATGAAAGCAGCTGTTTGCACAGACTGCCATAATCCAGGGGAATGCAGAAACATTCAAGACTATCAAACTTTTTCTATTTATTTCATTATCCATTGCTCTGCACTTCCCGCTAAGGGGATTTCTGTGATAAAATGCTGGGCCAGTTTAAAGAGGAAAGTGTTCAGTTGGATTACAGTGGAGAGTCCATCACTGAGGCATGGAGAGGTAACACAGCAGGAATTTGGAACAGGAACCCGAAGCATGGAAGGACACTGCCTACTGGCTTGCTCTCCATGCCTTGCTCAGCTTGCCTTCTCACAGTGGGCAGGGTCCTCCCGTATCAATTATTAAACTAGAAAACTCCCCACAGGCCAGTCGTCTTCTCAGATTCAGATGGCTCTAGTTTGTGTCAAGCTGACTTAAAAAGAAAAAAAATTAACTGGTACAAGAGGTAAAGACCTATATATGAAACAGTTGACATTTTTAGACTATTGAGCTAAATATTAGTAATTCTTTACTCATCACAGTCTGTGTCCCTTTCCTAAGTTGAAACCAGCCTGCTTTAATTCATTCATGTTTACCAGTATATCTTATATCTAAGCAACTAAAATCAAACCATGAGCTAGTATGCTGATACTGAGCCTTTATAGAAGGCGAGACAGAACATTTGTAGAGATTTCATATTTTAAAGATTTACTTATTTTATTGTATGTGCACAAGCATTTGCCTGCATGTATGTGTACCATGTGTGTGCCCTGTGCCAACACTAGTCAGAAAAAGGTGTTAGATCTGTAGAGCCAGAGTTACAGATGGTTGTGAGCTACCCTTTGAGTGCTGGGAACCAAACCTGGGTCCTTTGAAAGATCAGCAAATACTCTTAACTGCTGAGACAACCTATGTGGGGGGATTTAAAAATTTACAGACAAGTATAAATCAGATGGGACAGAGTAGCTTATTAATCTGTGGTATGTATTGACTATAATTACTCACACTTGAATGAGAGGCACATGAATCTATGGCTAGTTTACTTTCAATTTGGTTCCTCTAGGAAAGACTCCATAATATAGTTAAAAGGAAGTCGATATTGAGAGGATGGGGAAGCTTGAATTGATTCAAATACTACTCCATCCAGACTATTAAATGCAAAAGTGCTTAGTTAGGATTGGAAACCAGGGCAGTGAAAATGTGGTGAAAACTGAGGAAAGTTAAGTTTTTATTCTTTTCTCAAACTTACTAAAATAAATTTGGTAACTTTTGTATTTTGAGGATTGAAGTGATATGCTCAAAAGGGGGAGACTGTTGATGGTGTTTTCCCAAGGCTCTTCATGGGACAAGATTTAAAAAAAAAATAGAGAAAGATGGGAAGGCCAAAGTCAGGAGGTTTGAGAGTTGGGCCAATGATACTGGGAAAGGGACATTTGTATGTGCAGATCTGAATAGCCACAATTGGATTGGTGGTTGAGTGGCAACATGCAAATCTCACAGCGGGGGTCCTCACTGTACTGCTTGATAACCAAAGGGTCTACAGTGTTGGCTGCAACGATGGAACCACTGAACAAGTGTGCTATCTTAAGAGCATACATTAGATTCTGTGCAATTGCCAGGCTTAAACTGACAGACTGTATATACTTTGGGGGTTGAAGATTGTTTTAAACACTGACCATTTTTACCTTGAGGTACTTTCTAGCTTTTAATGTTTTTTTTTTTTTTTTGTTTCAAATTATAAGTTGTTGGGAAAGAGTATCTTTGTTTCACTTCATTGCCATATGGGAATTTTGAAAAGCAGTTGGAAGTTTCTCTGGAGTGGCCTTAAATCTGTTCATCTGGCCTTCTATAAATAACAAAATGAGCACATCAGGCACAGAGTGGATGGGGACACTGTCTTCAAAGTTTCTCTAGAAAATGATATACCTCTTGGAGTTTTGTTGGTTGGTTATTAGCAGGGAGCAGATGGAGAATTGCACTCTCTCCCCAGGACACTAATAGAAACAAGTTCTAAGATTTGTTTCTGAGTTTTTCTTGCTGAAATATTCTAACACAACCTTCTGAGCTCAAATTATCCTGACATTTCTCTATGAAGCAGTCAATATGCATCAGTAGTCTTGGTGTAATTAGGTAAAGAAACTCACCTCAATTACTGTATTTAAGCTTTATATACTTTGCAATGTGATACACAACCAAACTCCCTGGAATGTCAAGGCCATTTACTGAGCTAAGGTGGAAACTCAGCCTGCCTGACTTTACTGAAGTGGTTTCCAGCTTTGACCTTTACAATGTGTGAATGATTGTCACAGATGATGCGGCATAAAGGTTAAAAATATAACAAGCTGTATAGTGGTGATATTTTAGAATTAGGACACATTTTCCCTAGTCTCTCCATTTTCCTCAAGAGATAATATGCCTGATTTTAAAACTAAATAAGACTTGACTGTGTGTAATTTTTAGTTTTAATATCATTTCTTTCCTACATAAACTAACTCACTCTTGCTTGTTTTCTTTTAATTTTGAAACGAATAATTTACTTCATGAAGGTAAGCTTGAATTTAGAAATCTCCACACAACTGCACTTTTCCATAAGTAAAAGGTAGTTTACCTATAGCCATTTGGTATAATGTGCAAGAAGTTCTACATTTGGCTGTTTACTATGAAACCTACTTCTCTTTGATAGATTTTAGCAAAGAAAACAGCGCAAACGATCCCGACGATTCTACAGATACAATAAGACGTTATCACAGTTCCAAGAAGCACTTTGAAGACAGGAAAAGCAGATCGTCATCGTTCATCTCCTCCATCGATGATGAACAAAAGCCACTCTTCCTGAGAACAGTAGACTCTACTCCAAGAAAAGTAAAAGCAACCCGACTCCACGGTGAAGAAACTATGCCCCCCTCGGGAAGAATTCACACGGATAAAAGAAGTCACTCTTGCAGAGGTAACTAAGCTTCAGAGGTCTCTTCTCATGGCTAGATGGGAAACGACTGTTTTTCTTTCCCTTTTTTCTTTTTTGTTTGTTTGCTTGCTTGCTTTTGTTTTATTTGTGTTTGTTTTTCGAGACAGGGTTTCTCTGTGGAACAGTCCTGGCAGTCCTGAAAAATCACTTTGTAAACCAGGCTGGCCTCCAACTCACAGAAATCCGCCTGCCTCTGCCTCCTAAGTGCTGTGCCACCACCTCCGGAAACGATTGCTTTTCAAAAACTAAGAGCTGCACAAAACCAGGTTCTTCTGATATTGGACCCAAAGCTAACCTGTAAACCCCCACCTTCCCAAAGACCAGGTGACTTCCGAGGATTCTGAGAATTGTAGTTCTTGGAAAATAACAACAAAGCTTCATGGGAAAGAACTGTGGCCTAAGGGTTTTGCCCTTGTAAGCTCCACCAAACGCGTGTGTCGAAGCCACTTACCCTGGAAAGTCGATGGTCAGGTGACAGTCCTGGTCAAGTTTCATCTTGGTCAGTATTTAATATTTGTAATAAAAGCTTGCATAAATTTGGCCAAAATCGTGGAACTGGTTTTTCTGGCCAATTTCAGGATTAATAAACACTAACCCTTTCAATTCATAAAATGTCTTTAAGATCGAAAATCATGCATATAGAGTTTGCATAATTCTGCAATAGTGTTCCCCCAAAATTTTAGGTTTGGGGATTTTTATGGCCAATCAGAATTAGTATAAGACTCAACACAGCACTGTTGGCAGCTTGTTGGTTACAGCAAGACAGGGTCAGGGGCTATTTACTGAGAGCTAACAAATCAGTTTGTTTGTTTTTGTATTCACCCTCTGTACCAATTCTTAACTTCAACCTTAATAACTGTATAATATGGAAGCTCCATCCAATCATAACACAATGTAAACCAAACAGAATTGTGTTTTCCTGTGAATTACAATGAAAGGGAATATCTTGAAATAAAGCAGTCTTAAGAACATTCTTATTTCACATCTCCCCAGAAAGGAATAACAAATATACAGGATTTGCTGTAGAAAATACACAAAAGCTGAGCAGTACGCTTTATTTTTCAGGTTTTATGTAAAAGATAGAAAACAATTAAATTGCTACAGGGAAGAATATACCAGATCTATATATCTATCTAGATCTCACTGTTTAAGTGAACTTGGAGACCTGGGTCAGACTACTTGGATTATAAAAATAGCTCTGCCATCCTGTATGAGTTTGGTAAATGATCTGACCAACCCCAGGGTCCAATTTATTCAATCTTTAAGGTAAAAAATAATGCTATCTAACCAACTGATTATGATTGTTAAACAATGTAATCTGTAAGTAAAATTTCCTAGGATTGAGTCCTAAAGACTACTTAATATTTTTTTACTAGGTTTTATTTTCCAACTATTTCCTTATATAATTTTAATGTGAAAATTAAAAAGGCATCCCATGGAGCTGGAGAGATGGCTCAGTAGTTAAGAGGATTTGCTGCTCTTGCAGGAGACCTTGGCTTGGTTCCCAGTTCCCACATCCAAGGGGTACATGAATGCGTGTGACTCCAGTTCCAGAGGATGCAGTGTCCTTTTCTGGCTTCTATATACATGTGCTACCCATGCAGACAAGCAACACACACACATATAAAATGTATAAAAATACATTTTTTAATAGACAGTATCATGAAACATCAGAAGATGGTAACAGAGTACTCCGGACATCCCAGGATGTTTTGCTGTGAGGACAGAAAAGTATGTCACTGATAAGGTATTCTCTACTTGCCATCACCATCATTCCACAGGAATGTCCAACAACAAAGTATTGTTGAGTACAAGTTAGTTAGGCTTTCCAATTTCCCAGAGTTCCTTTCCCTAACGTGTTATATCAGCTTTAGTCATGATTTCACACAGCAATAAGCTAAGAATATATGCAAATGTCCTCTAGACAACCTAAAATCTTGATGAAGTCCATGGAAATAGTATCTCATTCATCACAGTGGAAGAATAGAATATTAGATGTGATTATCAAATGTCCCATTTTAGTTATTTATGAAAATGGATTCTGGGTAGTACTAAAAATAGGAAACAGGTTGTATCCTTGAAGTCTAAGTTCTGTGAACTGACTGGACAATATCTACTATGTACAAAATGATTTTATGAAGATTTTTGCAAAAACATGTTTTCCCCTTGCATATTAGGCTCTCAAGTGACAAGTCATTAAAGATATTTTTGAGATTTTATTTGGCTTTTTTTAAAGTTTTTTTTTAGATTTATTTATTTATTTATTACATATACAGTGTTCTACCTACATGCCAGAAGAGGGCACCAGATTGAATTGTAGATGGTTGTAAGCCACCATGTGGTTGCTGGGAATTGAACTCAGGACCTCTGGAAGAGTAGTCAGTGCTCTTAATCTCTGAGCCATCTCTCTAGCCCTTTATTTGACTTCATAATGATTCCCCTGACAGTAAATTCAAATGCCCTTCATTTTGTAATTTTTCTTCTTCCAACTTTTAATTAACTCTTCCCTGTTACCCAACAAATTATATTTTCTGACAATCTTAATGTCTCCAAATATCTATGTTTTCAAAAATTCATAATGTAATTCACATTCAAGCCATGAATGGTTATCTTGAGAATACATACCTAAATGTGCATGTCTATTGACAAATGAATTGATGATATAAAACTTCAGTCAAGATGACATGCACTTAACATGACTAATCAATATAATGAACCAATGAAGAATTTAAAAACTTGATTCACTGAAGAGATCATTCCCCAGAAACTTAGTGCTGTGTATCAGTAACAAACTTCCAATATATAAGTGAAGGTATAACAATTGCAGATCAAATAGCTGGATTCTGACAGTTTAGTTTCATTACCAAGACGTAATTTCATTGCCTTGTGTTCTGAGACTTGTCATCCCTAGAAAGGGCTCATTTAAGGAAAACTTTAAAAAGAAAAGAATTAAATTGACTCTGGCCTTCCTAATGCTGAGGTCAAGTATAGACTCTCGTGCAACTGTGAACTCTGAAAATGAAGGTTTACCCTCTGTTCATCCATTTGCAGAAATGTGTCTTGCAGCTATGGCAACATTTTCCAAGGCAACCAGTGCAGATACTGTCTGAGCTATTTTTAGAAAGTGTCTACAAGGATGCTCATTTGATTAAGATGACTAACCAGGGTTTCCCCCTTTGAACTCTTTATTTTTCATTCTGCCATTAAAACAAATTAATCACATATGTCTAAATTTCAATTAAAAATTAAGTTGTAATCAAGGAAGCCTCAATCTTACAGTACACATTTTATTCGTTTCTGCTAAGATAATCTTTTTCTTAAGCATCAAAGATAAATACTATCCTCCATAATTTACCACATGTGATTCACCAGTGTCATTTAAAAATCAATGTGTTACATGATTGTAAAATGAGGGGGCTGTTAAGCGGAGGCAGAAATTCTATGAGGTTACTTGGCACAAAGCTCATGAGGACATTGCATAGCCTCTCAATCTCTGGTGAGAAATGTCCCTACAAAGAACTGGCTTAGGGAAACAAGAGGAGCACAGTCCCTGGCATCTCCAAGCCCCTTGTGAGTGCTCTGATTTGGTGTCACCAACACAGAGCAGAAAATCTAGTTTATTGAGACACTGTGTTGTGGTTTTGCATTTTAAATTGGTCCAAATGCCTGTGAACAACATATCATACGTCTCAGTGAAAATCTGTAGTCTGATGTTTGTATTCACATCTCTTCCTGTCTGGTAAAATATGAAAGTAAGTGATACACTGACACTTGGATAAACACTGAACACCAAGATCCTGCAGGCTAAAGATGATATAATAGGGTGCCTTCTCTGGATGTCACAGAGAAGTCTCTGAGGTCTCTTAGCCCTTTCCACAAAACAAGAAAACAAGGAACCTGGCCTTGTTTTTCTCATGCTGTCTTTGGTTATGTTAATTTCTTTCTTCCTTATAGCCTCCCCTACTGAGATAGAAATAAAAAGCACATCATTAGAGACTTTTCTGTGCATTCAGTGATAAAAGATAGGGAGAGAAAAACCCATGGAAAAAGAATAGGGTTTTTTTTTTTGTCATCTTCTCAGAAAGGGGGAGTCAACACATCCCCCAGTGTGCTTTCAGAGAAACCATAGGAAAGGAAGTCTCACAGCTCCGTACCCTATTTCTAGAATCATAGCTAATCCTGCCCAATTTAGTTACACTCAGTCCTTTTTTTTTAAATAGCTGAGGATGTAAATTCCATATCTTTATGTAATAATTTTCCTTGCCGTTTAATCATAGATACTTGTCAAGGCTTTCTTTTAAAATGTTCATCGAACCTAAACCACATCCTATAACCCAAAGCTACTTCCGTGGGGAAGTGAAGACCCATTTGAGATACATCTTTCCTCCCACCAGCTCTCCCATGGAGGAATAAATTTGCTTTTCTTTATTGCTGAGAATCTCCCAAGTCCAGTTGCATTTCTTCACTGGTTTTATTTTCTTACCTTGTAGATGAAAGTGGGTTCAGAGCATTGAAAGTCTTGATAAAAATGAGGAAGACAGTAGCATGCATTTGAAGATTTTAAGAGAAACGGTACTAAAAGAGGTTCATAAAATGAATCATTACATGAAAAATGATCACGAACATTCCCAGTAGAATTCTTCAGGGTCACAGCCTTTGTCTTCAGTTCCTCATGCTTAGCAAACTCGGGAATTTAACACCTGGTACAGCAGAAAAGTAGAATTGAACATGTAAGAGGTTTGTTTTAAAGCATGTTAACATAAAATGTTTATAATAAAAGATTCACAAGAAGAAAATTCTAGAAAGCAATGTGATTACCTTAAATAAAGTGCAAAGGAACTTTAAGGAATTTGAAAGCTTGGAACAGCAGCAGGGCACCTTTAAGGCTTCTCAACTCCTAGAGACTGTGGCTCCTTGGCTCAGCACTGATCTATGTAGGTCTAAGGAAAACACCCTGAAGACACACATCCCTCTTGACCTTCTGTTTGGGATTAAGCAGAGCCACAATATATGAAAGTTACCTTGAGGGTAGGGGCTCTAGCAATCTTACATTTTGGGAAAAGCATTGCAAACAAAACTTGCTATTTTCTCCCAAATTGAATGGTATAAAATCATGGCTGTTTGATCAATTTGAATTTGCTCATCATACCTTCTAGGCACTGACAAAAAGATGGGGAAAAAAATCATAACCTGGAAAAAAAAATCTCATGCCCTGTAACAGAATTTGAATCCTATGAAAATGAATGGAGGAGGTAAGTAAGATAGGCAGGTTAAGGCTAAAATTCTGCTACAAATTGGAGATGGTGGTTGTCATGTCCTTGAAATCCTGTGGTTATCTAGGTCTTCTCTTATGCCTGGAGATCCTCCTAGTCTGCTTTGCAGGCGTCTTTGTGTTGTTAAGACAAAGGGACTTCCATAGAAGCTGACATCTGTCTTGCCCTCTCTCACAGATATCACTGAGGCACATAGCTGGGAAAGAGAGCCTGCTCCGGCTCAACCTGAAGAAAGCAGTCCCTCAGGACTTCAGAGAGCTGCCTGGGGGATCTCTGAGACTGAAAGTGACCTCACCTATGGGGAAGTGGAACAAAGGTTAGATTTACTTCAAGAACAACTTAACAGGTAAATGAGTACTTGAAGCAAAAGAGGAATTCATTTATGTAAATTGCTCTAAATTTAGGATTCTTTTGCCATCAAACACCCGACTTTTGCTTATGGCTCCATTTGTATATCATCTGCGCTGGTTACCTTTAAAACTCCTTTTGCCTTGAAAATAATTTACATTTCACTTCTTAACTGACAATCTCCTTCTTTTAATACTTGTATGTTATTTAGTTGTTGTTCCTAAATTAGTCCTGAGCTGTGACATTTTTTTGAAAATGAGTATTAAGTCAACTTTTCAAAAATGTTAATTTAATGTTTTTAAAACATCACAAGCTAAAGATGTGACACTCCCTCCCCTCCCCTTTCCTTGATCTGGACAAATATAATATGAGAAATAATCTTAGTGTGGGGAAAGAGGTAACACTTCATTCAAGCCTGTATTGGTTCTTTAAAGTTAAACTGGTCGAAAACATCTAGGAGAGACAAGCAAGTCTGTTGAGTTCTGACCCTGGTTGATCTATGTAGTGAGTTCCAGTCAAGCCAGGGCTACATAGTGAGACTCTGCCTCCAAGAAAATTTTACAAAAATAAAGTCTCTGATAGCTGCTCTGAGCGTATGTGGAAACTTGTTATATAGTGTTGACCTTCAAGTACACTATAAGGCAAGCACCTCAAAGGCCATAGCAGGATTTATTAAAAGAGAGGCAAAAGTGAGTAATTAATATATTTCCTGTAATCTTTGGGAAAAGTCATGCTACCTGTAACCTGATGATCCAACTTGCTCCTCTCTGACACCTCTATCTTCCCTGTCTGTAGAGTGGACACAAGAACCAGAGTTGAGATTTCCCTAGATAGACCCACAGACAAAAACTAAACTGCTGTATAGACAGCATCTGCTAGCTCTGTCTTTGATGAAAGGCCTACCACACCATGCCATAGCTGTTACTCTTTAGTTAGAGACTGCTTTTCTACAGTCTCAAGATTCACTGGGCTTTTGTGAAGAAAGCACTCTTGGAGCCACAATAACACAATAAGAGTACATCAAGTGCAATTAAAAAGTTGCCTTAATTTAGGGAGAAAGTTATCAACCCAGAGCTGCCAGGACAGTTAGTTCTTTCCACTTCTTTCATAACTGTCCATCTTCTTGTCATATCACATTTCCATTCACTCTTTCACACACGTTGGTATTACGTAACTAATGTGTGTGCCTGACTGTATTTTGTCCAGACTACTGGCATACTCTTCTATACTCAGTATGTCTATGACTTGTATCCATACGACATAAATTACTTGGTTATAAAAGAATCTGGATGTGGCCTGCTCCCTCCCTAAGCTTTTGCTGAACACTTGATCTCCAGCAAGCAAGGCTATTTCAGAAGTTGTATAACCTTTACGAGGTGGTGTTCTGGTGGAAGCTTCCCCCCAGCCCCTGGCATCTATGTACCCAAAGAGTCTGGAATGTTCTGGTGGAAGTTCCACGCAAGCCCACTCCCCTGTCTCTCTCCAAACCCTGCTGCATCTCAGAAAGCCCACCAAATGATGATCCCTCCCACTGAGATGCTCAAGACCACTCCCACTGGACATTTAAACTGCTCCCCCACCACCGGAAAAAAAGCACAGTGTTTTCTGGTCTCTCTTTTCTGTCTCCTCTCTGGGGGACTGGAAAGCCATCTGGGAGCATTGTGTCCATTAAACTTGGGCTTTTTCTAATTCATTTGATTTGGTCTGATTTGGATTACTGTGTCATCGGAGAGGCTTATCGGGGTGCAGAAACTTTTTAGGTGGAGTTTAGCTGCAAGAAGTGAGTCATTGTGGGTAGGTTATGTAATTTATCACCCAGCATACTTCCTGACCTACCTCTGCTTCCTGATCTACCCAGATGTGGGCAAGCACCTTCATGCTCCTGCTGTCAACAGCTGAGAGCCATTCTTTCTGCCATGTCCTCCTTTCCATGATGGGCTGTACCTCAAACTCTGAGCCACAATAAACCTCCAGTTCTTCATGATACTTCTTGTTGAGTATTTGATCACAGCCATGAGAAAGTAGCTAATATAATTTACTTATTACCTATGCTTAATTGTATTTATTTTGTCTATACCGGTAGTAGCAGTCGTTCTTGGAAAAGCAAGTAAGTAAATGATGCTAACGACACTGCTGACATTAGCTCAATACCAATATAGTGTGTAGTATTGGTTAGCATAGGTGAATATCAACTATGTTTACTAAACTGTTTATAATCTGTCTGGATGAAGTTGTTTAAACATTCCTAGAATCAAGTTTTCCATACCTATCAGCGACATTGCTCTTTTACACTCATATCTTGGTATCTACAAAGAATTGGTTCCAGGATATCACTTAGGTACCAAAGTCCATATATGCTCAATGTTTTATACAGAATGACATCATTTCAATGTAACCTTCACATAATCCTCCTGCGTACTTTAAATCATCTCTGTATTACCATAAACCACAATACAATATAAATGCTAAGTCTTTAATTGTTATATTGTGTCATTTAAAGAATAAAAACAAGAAAAAATTATACATGACTAGTACAAATACAAATTCTTCTAGATGCAGAACTTAAAAAATAAAGTCTATTTGTACATGCTGTACAAAACGGAGAACATGTGTATAGCTAGGTAATACTTAACTGTCATTTTACTTTATCTGTTTTACTGTAACTCTTTTGTTTTGAATACATTTCTAGGTTTGTACCCATCTTTGAGACTAAAATCACCATATAAAGATTACTAAAAACCATTTGTTTTCAGCCGGGTGTTGGTGGCACACGCCTTTAATCCCAGCACTTGGGAGGCAGAGGCAGGTGGATCTCTGTGAATTTGAGGCCAGCCTGGGCTACAGAGCCAGTGCCAGGACAGGCTCCAAAGCTACACAGAGAAACCCTGTCTTGAAAAAAAAAAACACAAAAAACAAAAAAATTGTTTTCATTGTGTCCTAGAACTGAAAATAGAAACTTTAAGTGTTTACATCTAGAACACATTTGAATTTAATCACCCATTAGTAATAACATTGCTTTCTCTTATATTAGCATATTTTATATATTTTTTACACTGATAAAAATAGGATTAAGTCTTGTTTGACCTGCTGCCAGAATCTTCGAGCACTTCTGAACATGTTTTGAATTGTTACCACAATTAGTCGTACTTCTTGACTAATTTTTAATTATTTCTGATATCTTCACCAATGTGTTATGGCATAAGTCTTCTTAGCCGATTTCAAAGTTCAATATGTGATGCTTTCATTGCATTCAACCTCCAACAGCCCCTTTTCCAATTTGTTCTGCAAAGTAAAATACATAGAAAACAAAATTGAAAAGGTCAATCTGAATCAGACACTACTCTGCAGAGTGAGAGTCCTAGAACTCTTCTGAGAGTTGAATCTGCCCTGGTTGACATGTCTGCATTGACAAATGCAGATCTGTGAATTCTTATACTGTTGTCAAATGCAAATATTAAATTTAAAATATAATCAGAATAAATACAAATAATATACTTAAGTGGTGCTTGCTGCAACCTCTTTTTTCCTCCAGCATTAATGGCCAATTAAGGTACATACAGGCTTGAAGCTTTACATAAGTATTCTTAAATATTTATTTAGTGTGCCTAGATATATAAATACTTGAGGAAATTACAAATGCTTGATCGCATAGCAGAACTTCTCAAGCTTTAACGTAACTCCGATCACTAGGAAAACTGTAGAAACACAATTATAGGACAGTAGGTCTGGAATTTGCAGAGTCCACATTTTAACACACTACCAGGGATAACCAATACTGCTAGACTAAGGAACACAAATAAGATGACCTAAAAAATGTAAAACTTGTTGGCTTTTCCATTGCAGAACACACAAAGCAATGTGTCTGCCTTCCACTACCATGACATTTAGTACTGCTTCATTTAGTGTTATGATTTATTATCCATGTCCTTCACTTTTTTAAGTGTTTATATGATATGCATATGTGCATATATGTAATGTGTGAGGATGCACATGTGAGAGTTATGCTTGTGTACATATGTGTGCATGTGTAGAGGTTCAAAGTTGATACTAACTCGGTGTTTATCTTGACTAGTTTCTAACCTATTTATTCACTCAGAGTTTCTCAGCTGAACTCAGAACTTGTCTGTTTGCTATCATAGCTATCCAGGGTTATCTGGGTACCTCCCTTCTCTGTCCCCTGAGTTCTGGAATTACTGATGGCAGCCACATCTGCCCAGCTTTTTATGTGGGTTCTGGGAATCCAAGCTCTGGTCCTCACACGTGTCCTGTCAATAATGAAATCACATTCAATTATCATTCATGATGGTGCTCTCATAGTTCCCTCCTACCTAACATCATGCCTGATGGGTAACAGATCTCTCAGTAAAACTATTATTTTTCTACAACTTTATGCTATAGAAACAAACAAAAATCTAAAACAGGGTTATTTTGTGTTTTAACAACAAAGAAAAATGGGACTTCAGTTTAGCTCTCTGTAATTCTTTCAAAATACTTTATTTATTCTTAAAAGACTCCATTCTAATTTAGCAAATACACTCTAGCCATAACATGAAAATAAATATTATGCATTGTGCAGACATTTATTACCAATACCCTTCTTTGCTGAAATGCCCAATCCAAATATCAATCATCTAACTCATTTTTTTAAAGTCTTGAAAGCATATATACAAGATTGTACTTATATATTTAGGAATATATGTATATACCTAATATGTATATATTTATGTGACAACAACTAATGAAAACGAGGCCATGAATTTGAAAGAAAGTAAAAAGTATATGGGAAGGTTTGGAGGGAGGAAGGGCAAGGCAAAATGATGTAATTATATTTTAACCACAAAAGCAAAAGAATTATTTTGTAAAGTGTTAAAAATAGCATAGGGAAGGAGCCAGAGGGATAGTCACGTGCATCAAGTCTCAGAAAGGGCACTGTGAGGTACAATGTTTACAGGGATTTGAGTCTGGGTCTTTAAGGAAGGAAACTGTGCTAAATTTTCCAGGCTGTGATCAATATGCTAGAGGAATAATATCAAAGGAGGCAAGTTTTACGTTGGATTGCGGTTTCAGATGTCCTCTTCTGTGGCTTGTTGGGCGGTGTGATGAGGAAGAGCATGATGGAAGGAAAACATGGTGGGCACAGCTTATCTCATGGCACCCAGGAAACATCGAGGAGACTAACTAGAATAGGATACATCCCCCCATGGACACACCCTCAGTGATGCACTTCCTCCAACTTGGCCCCAAATATGAAGGTTTCCATTGCTTTCTACTAGTGCCTTCAAATTATGAATCCTCCCATGGGCTAGTATAGTGATTAGGCCAGAATCCTTGTGATCCAATCACTTCTCCCTGCTTGAGTTAACCGTCCTGAGACTAACCCTTCAACAAATACACTCTCAGGAGATATGATTTATATCCAAGCCATAAAAATTAAAAAAAAAATAGCACTGAACAAAATTCTCAGCATAATGCTTTGGGATTCAGGTGAAAAGAGAAGTTAGATTTAGCAAGATTGGGTGAAGTTTGATTAGGAAGCTGTTCAGATGAGCTGATTTGTAGCTATTCCTGTGTTGATAAACCTAGCTCTTGACCCAGTCTCATTTCTCTTAGGTGAAATTTCGTTGCAACAAACAACTGAGTCAGGTTGATAGAGATAGTTACAGACTTATGCAAGTCGTATTAACACAGATGGTGTCTAGTCTCACTCTACACCAGCTACTTGACCTTCCATGATGTCCTCATGCGAGAAGTTTCACTCACAGCAACAGACTGCAATTATAGGGCACATAGGTGCTGAAGCCCTACCTTTCTGTGGATGTGTCTGCCACACACATTATTTAAATAGAACCTATTATAAAGAGATTTTTTTTCCTCAAAGACTGTTTCTGTTTAACAAAGGATTAACTGGGCTCAAACATCATCATCTTGACTCTGTCTTGTTAATGAGGCTCTTATTCCAGTATCCACAGATAAGTCATTTTACATTCAGTAGTGCATCTTGGAAACGATAGTACAGGGCATTATGTAATCCTGTCATGGATAAGATAAACCTGTACAAATATTCATGAAGAACTTTGAATTTAGAATTTTATTTCAGGGCTCAGGGGAAAGAGAAATTGTTATGGGGAGTTCACCAAACATGATCCACCGAGACACAGCATAGAGCTAATTGAAAGTCTTTATTCAAGTCAGCTGGGACCACATTCAAGTGTTTGGGAGACCTTGGTGTGGCCCCTACTGTCCAGAATACAGGGAGTTTTAGAGGCAGATGGCACATCCTGGAATCCCACTGGCAGCTGCAGGAGGGCTTTGCAGAAACAAGCAGTTTAACAGAAGCTGGTAAGGTTAGCTGGAAGGGGTTCCTCACAAACAGGCAGTTTAATAGAAACTAAGTTGGCTAGCACATCCTGATCTTGGGTTCCTAGAACAAAGTTGGGTGGTTTTCCATGGGATTTCCATCAAGGAGATCAAATTCTAGTTAAACCTGAGATGGCCTCAGCTAGAATACAAGACCTCTGTCCTGTCTTGTCCCATCACAAAATAATTCTGAATGTGTTAAATAAGGGAAGAATTATTGGTGGAAATAAAATTTTCATTGAACCTTAAAGTGAGAGATGAAAAATTGATTCATAACAACAAAATAATCATTCTGTCCTATTTAATTTGTACCACAATTACATAAGACATTTAGGCATCTACTAGTTGATAATTGTTATTTTTTTCATTTTCAGTGTGAAGCTGTGACATACATGTGACACAATCAGATATATTTTATAAACTATTGGCATAAAGGATACTAAGGCACTCTCTTTTTCGTTATATTCATGAATGAAAGAAAACCTATAAGGATATATTATAATTAAAAAGAAAGATTTTTAATGTTAATATTAAAGGGTAAAAAGAACCTATTGTCTGGCACACCTGTAATTCCATTCATTAGCTCCAAAGACTTGACAAGCAAGTGCTAAGCTAGCCCAGCCTCCCTACACAGAGAGATGCTCTCTCAAAATTAAAGTTAAAACTAATATATAGCTTTTCTAATGTTTCCCAGATTTTGCTTTCTTAAAAATCAAAGCTAATTTCCATAAATATGTTTATTTAATTGGGCAAATAGTTCTAAGATGTACTGCTCTCTGTCTCTTTTAATTCAATGGTAAATCATAAGCACAAATATTATAACTCAAAAAAAATCTCTAAAAAGCATATGGTCCAAATTTTGTTCTTACGCCCACGAAATCCCTTATCTTAAGCTGTCCACACAGGGGAATCATTCTGTTTCGGCACCAGATGTAGGTGAGGGAGCGCAGGAAAGCAACTGCTGCTGTGAATACTCCACGGCATGATTAAAGGGGTAGGGCTTTTGTCCTGTTTTGTTCTGAGACAGGAAACAGACAGGGGCAGCTGGAAGTGTTCAGAGCAGCAGAATGGACATGTCCAGGGCTATCTGCAAGAGCAGGGAGATGAGCAAAGGGGCTAACAGGGGGCCTGAGTAGTGAGAGTCACTGAGTTACATAAGAAAGATGAGTGGCTGGGGAGAGGGAAGCCCATCAGCTGGAGTGGGGTTAGGGTACAGGACAGGTGAGAGGTGTTAGCAGGACTTTGAGATATATAACCAAGTACTTGTGAGTAGGGGCTGCGGGAGCCTGAAGCTACCTTTATATACCGATAGGTGCCAGAGCTATATATGTCAATGGAGAGCCAGATGTTCCTTCTGCCAGAGGTTAAGGGGAGTTTACTCCTTTAGCAGGTGAGGGCTGGTTTCACAAGATGCTGAAGAATGCTGGCTTTTATCTGTCAGAAATGCTCCCACAGTCCAGATTAAGCTCTGGATATTTTGGGCTGTCTTTTAGAGTTTGGGGAATTGGAGCTTCCTTTGGAGCTTGCACAAACCAATTGCATTTTGCTGTTTTCTCTTGAAATTTATTTTAAAATGAGTGGTTGACTGCTTGTGAGCTTTGGAGAAAGCAATGGTTGTTTGAACATTGTGCAAGCCGGATGGGTCAAAGAAGCAAGTAAACTTGAAGTTTGTTCTGTCTCTTAAATACCATAGCTTTGAACCACAGACAGGAAAAGGAATTTAATGTTCAGACGGCAAGAAGCATTAAAAAATAAAATAAAAAGATAAAGAAAAGAAAGCATGATGAGTCACATATAGAACTTACTTTGAAGAGGAGAGAGGCAAGGTAAAATAGTGTGTCTTAGTCAGGGTCACTGCCTCTTTGAGAAAACACCATGACCAAAGCATCTTGGGAAGGGGAGGGTTTATTCAGCTTACACTTTCACATCAGGGTTCATCATCAAAGGAAGTCATGGCAGGAATTCAAGCAGGGCTGAAACCTGGAGGCAGGAGCTGATACAGAGGCCATGGAGGAGTGCTGCTTACTGCCTTGCTTAGCCTGCTTTCATATAGAAACCAGGACCACCAGCCCAGGGATGGCACCACCCACAATTTTTTAAAGATTTATTTATTAATTATGAATACAACATCCTGCCTCCATGTATGTCTGCACACCAGAAGAGGGCATCAGATCTCACTATAGATGGTTGTGAGCCACCATGTGGTTGCTGGGAATTGAACTCAGGGCCTCTGGAAGAGGAGTCAGTGCTCTTAACCTCTGAGCCATCTCTCCAGCCCCACCACCCACAATTTGATTGGCCCTCCCCCATCAATCACTGATTAAGAACAAGCTGTACAACCAATCTCATGGAGGCATTTTCTCCGTTGCCGTTCCCTCCTTTCAGATAACTTTAGTTTGTGTCAAGTTGACGTAAGACGAGCCAGCACATAGTAAAAATACAAATTTTGTAAGTTTTCCTGCAATGCTGTAAAGAAATTTGTTACTGGGGCTGGAGAGATGGCTCAGCAGCTAAGAGCACTTGATGCTCTTCCAGAATACCCAGGTCCAATGCCCAGCACCTACATGGCAGCTCCTAGCTGTCCTTAACTCCAGTTCTAGGGGATCTGACATCCTCATACAGACATACACGCAACCAAAACACCATTGCACTAAAAATAAACAATTTTTTAAAACAAATGAAATGTATTACTCCTTTGAAGGGGAAGAAAAAAAACAGTTCATAAATAGTTGAGTAAAACCCTCATCAAAGTCAGGTAATTATTGATCATAATATTCTAGATGTATTTTATATTTTAAAATCAATAAAGTTAAGTAGAAATAAAGTGCACGCCCCCTGTTTTTCTGTTAGTACGTGCATAAGAAGTCGGTGATCCGATTCAGTGATGAATTCTCCAGAAAGGGTTGGACAGGAGTCTCCCTGCCCTCTTCTGTCTCTCCTGCTCACGGCAGCTCTTAGTTCTGTTTGTTGGCAGAGCTGATGCTTTCTCACAAATCATGACTATTTAAGACTATCTTTCCCCTTTCTGCATGTCTTGCAGACTGGAATCCCAAATGACAACGGACATCCAGACCATCTTACAGCTCCTGCAGAAACAAACCACAGTGGTCCCTCCAGCCTACAGCATGGTGACTGCAGGAGCAGAGTACCAGAGACCCGTTCTCCGTCTGCTGAGAACAAGTCACCCCAGAGCATCCATTAAGACTGACCGGAGTTTCAGCCCCTCCTCACAAGTGAGTTTAGACTTTGTAAACCCAAGAGTCTCTCTCTTTAAAAGACAACAATAAAAGATGTATTTATTATATACACAGTGTTCTTCCTGCATGTATGTCTGTACGCCAGAAGAGGGCACCAGATCTCATTACAGATGGTTGTGAGCCACCACGTGGTTACTGGGAATTGAACTCGGGACCTCTGTAGGAACAACCAGTGCTCTTAACCTCTGAGTCAGCTTTCTAGCTGGAGTGTCTCTTTGAGTGTATCTCCAAGGTCACCTGAGTAAGAATCATGTACAAAAAATACGGATTTCCATTCCCATCTGTTTCTGCTCAGAGTTTCTGTAAACTGAACCTGTGTTTTTGCATTGTATCCTTAAAAGTTGCAAACAATGTACTTAAAGAAAATTTTAAATTGTATCACTTATGTGTACGGGTGTGGGGGGGGGTGGAGGAGGGTATGCCTGTAGAGGCCAGAGGATGAGAATCAGGTTTCTTTCTAGATACTTCTTTATCTTGTTTTTTGAGACAAGCATATGACATTGTGTGTTATTCTTAAGACAACTCTCTCAATGAAACAGCATCACTGATTTGAATTTGACTAGACTTGCTGGCCACTGAATCCCAGGGATCCTCTTATCCCTTCACAATACCCAACTTTTCATATTGCTGGCAATGATCCAAACTCAGGCCTTCAGGCTGGTAAGACAGCACCTTTCCCTAAACATAGCAGTTATTTGAAATGAAATGCTGTTAGTCAAGAATCAACCTATATAAACTGACATACTGTAAATTTCATGGTAATGAATAACTCTTAGCTAAAATATAATAGTAATAATAATAATAAAATTTAAAAAGTATGTCAGAGAAAAAACTGTTACTTGCTCCAGTGCCACAAGGCAGGATAGGTCTTTTAGAAGACAAGAGATGGCAGTTAACTTGACTAGAATCTGAGGTTCAAATGCAGTCAGACTGGCAAACACATCTGTACCCTACTTGACACCAGACATCTCTAGGTTTTTATCACTTAAATGATAGTATACATGGTAAGACAAGACATGTGACAGATCCTTTATCCTGACTCTAATCCTTCTAGTGCACCTCTCAGTTGTTTAAGTATCACGGACAATTGAACCTAAGAAAGATGATTTCAGTAAGAATGAATAGACAATCTTGTATAAATCTCCATGTGGAAATTGTATGTAAAATTTTCTAGGAAATGGAACATGATAACAAAAGTTAGTGTGTCAAAAGGAAAATAATGACAATCTTTCCAAAATATAAACGTTAATTCATCTCTTACTTGTTTTTAATGGATTAGAAATACATACAATTATGCCTTTTATTCTTTTCAGTTTGTTAAGGCAGTAATTTCTGATAGGATGATTATTTTTATTTCCTTCATTACTTTCCTTAGATAGGATTAGTCATCAAGAGACTTTTCTTAATCCAGCATTAAATTTTGAATTAAAATTCACCAGTATGCAGCTCAAAGTGGATAATTAAAAAAAAAAGCTAAACTTTTAAATCTGGCTTCAGGATGAAGTTAAAATTCTTTACTTGAGATAACAGACCCCTAATTTGCGGGGTCCATTTTAGGAGAGAGATATTGCCTAATATCCTTAACCATATGCAATGAATGGAAAAAGAAAACTCATCTGGATTACATGAACAAAATGTTAGTCAATTTAATGGAATGAATTATAAAGGTGAATTTTCTTTTCTTCCTATCAGTGTCCTGAATTTCTAGACCTTGAAAAATCTAAACTCAAATCCAAAGAATCCCTCTCAAGCGGAAGGCATCTGAACACAGCCTCAGAGGACAACTTGACTTCACTTTTAAAACAAGACAGTGATGTGTCTCTAGAGCTTCACCCGCGGCAAAGAAAAACTTACCTTCACCCCATCCGGCACCCGTCTCTGCCAGATTCTTCCCTAAGCACTGTAGGGATCTTGGGTCTCCATAGGCATGTTTCCGACCCTGGTCTTCCAGGAAAGTAATCGTTTTGTACTATTTCCTCCACATCCAATGTAAGTGCTTTTAATGGCTGTTTTCCTTTTTGTATTTAAATCCTCTCTACTTGACTCAGGGGCTCACAAGGTACCATTATATGCAAAAGTACTGTATATTTTTCCTAAATTGAAGCTTGTAAGGTAAAGTTGAGCAGCTAGGATGTAAATATACATAAGAGCTTTTGGTTCCAAATGTTCAAACTGCCAGCATCTCAAGGCACCTTATTTTTTAATTTAGTTATTTTTTAAATCATGTGCATGTTAGGAAACTCCACTTTCTCTTGCATGGAGACTCCTATTTACTGCTTTTACCGAATCAGTGCTTGATTATGAAAATGCCTTCCGAGCAAATAAGACACTGAGAAATGAAAATGTTCACGATCGCAACTCAGATGATCCTCAACTTACGGGAGTTTAACAGTGGGGGGAGAAAGGGAAGTTAGTCAGTTTGGAGAAGAAATACCCTTCTGTATTGACATGTTTATAGTTACTTACCTTCATTTCCTATAACAATAAAAAAGATTCAAAGTCTGAGTTATACTTATCAGTCAGAAAGGGAGCTAAATCCACAAGTACCGAAGGATAGAGTTCTTTCTTAATAAATTTGTAGTTTACTAATATAAACTTCAGATCATAGTAGGAAAACCCAGGAACTCAGACCCCAGTTTCATGTCCCAGGTTATATGAGACCTTCAACAAGAGCTATTCATTTTGGAGAGGTGACAGGACAAAGCTATTCCAGGCTTCCAAAGGTTAGGAAACTATGGGAAGCAGTCACCTGCTCCCAGCCTTCTGGGAGCTGCAGTCTCTGGGCTGGTGAGCAATCTGACCACAAGGAGTCTCTACACCCTACTTCTGCTTCTAGGCGGTCAAGTGGGAGGAGAACAGAGAGACCTTTGTGAATTTCTGCCCTACTTTTGGACAGGTTGAGGAGGCACAATGCTCCCCCGAGCTTGTCTTCAGCCAAACAATGAGAAATACAGGACAATATCAGTGCAAGAATAAAATGGTCTCTCTAGTAAATTCTGCAGTGCTTCATAAACAAGCTTCCTAAAATATTTACAGTAGTACATCTTTCTAAAATCTTAAAGATTATTTTGTGTGGTGGGGGGGTGACTCAAAACATGCCACTTACACAAGTGGACATCTGCAATTTCTTCAGATTTATATGTGAGAGCAATCTTGCATTTGTTTAAATAGTAGACACAATTTCAGATTATTTGTTAACAGGACCGTCTTTTATTAAGAATGGGTTGTTTCCTTGCTTTATTATCCCAGCTGTGGCAAACAATGTTCATCAGACCACCTAAAAAAGTCTTGTTAATTGAAAATTAAGTGAAAAATCCATTATGTGTGATTTGGACTGATTATATACTGATTCTATCACAATATATGTATGAATATGTGTAATGTAAAACCTTTGAATGCTAGGTACTGTTTCGGTGAAAGAGATGGCATTTAGATCATAAAATCAACACAGGAAAAAAAACAATTTACAATTCTTAATGGATCAAATGCCAGTTAAATTTTATTTTCAACTCAATTATATTTTTGAAATTATCAGAGACTAACCCTTTGTGTTCTTTTCTCCTGAACAAACACCTAGAAATTCGTTGATGGCTTTGTAGTTTTTCTACTAATTCTTAACGCTCCTACAGAGCTTTAAATAGTAGTTTATTTGTACATTTTTAAGTGGTTGAATTTTCCTTCACCTTTGACACTAATTGTTAGTCCACTTCAAATGCAAGCAATGTATTAACTGTGTATAACACTATTACTTCATTTAAAAATGTGTTAGAGTGACCTGAAATTGTTCCCTACATGCTTTTAAAGTCACAGAATTTGCCAATCCAATCTTCGTGGGAGGAAATCTGCACATAGGGCATGTTCTTATTCCCACTTAATTGAAAAAAAAAAATACTTACGGCAGAAGACCAGTCAGGTCAACATGAGTATAACAATTAGAATAGGCTCCCCAAATCATTTGATATGGCACAGATACAAACATAGACTTACATTCCTTCTTTCAGCAAGCATTGAAAAGAAGTACCTCACACAGGAAAGAGTCATGTTAAGTAGAGAACAATTTAGATGTGGATTTAGGGATCTTATTTCCATGTCGGGGCACATTTCTGCAGCTGCAACTAATTTCCTAAGGACTGTTCTGTCTGAGCAACATGATCATTCAGAATAAATTCACGAGAGATTGCTCGTTTTTAAGGGCAGGTGAAGAACTGAGATCCGATTGTTTGATCTGATTGGTGAATGCTTCAGTAGCAACATTTGGTATGCATGCATGCAATTCGGCCTACTTGAAGCTTTCCATTTATACTTCTCCATAAAAACTGAGCTTGCAGGAAAGGGAAGCTAGGGGGTGCTATACAAGCATCCAACTGGTTTAAATTCTAGCACAATCTAAACCCCTTCCCTTCTTAATTCCTCCACATGCAATAATTGTTTTTAAATCGTAAGTCTTGGAGGGTTGTGTAGGAACATAAAGGGACCTGTTTTCTTTTCTTTTTCTTTTTTTTTTTTTTTTTGGTTTTTTGAGGAACCTGTTTTCCTACAGAATATTAGTGTTAAAGATCCCAAACAACATAAACATACACATGGTCATAAATGTTAGATGAACAGACAGCTTAACTGACTTATGGATAGTAAAAACAATCATCTTGGCATACAATATGCATCCCCTGTCCCAGCCTAAAAATAACTTTAAAATAGCATTACCCTACCTATCCCCTATAGCAAAAGCAATCTGCCACCTCTAACTTAGGGTCTGCTGAAGGCCAGCCTAATACTGCACCAGTCAAAAACCAGTACAGCAACTGCTTTCCTAGGAGGGAATCAGAAGCCCTGACATTAACACCTTTTGCCTTTAACCTAAAATTATCATCTGGTCCCATGTCCTTAAAAAAAATGTTGTCTTAAAGTTTATTTGGCTGAGATGTTCTCCTGCTGCTATTAATTGCTGGACAGAGAATTGCCTCTAAGACTCATCATTTTATCCCAGAGGGAAGTCCCATACTTTAATTATCTGATGAGAATACCAGGAATAAAAAATACAGAAGAGATGTTTTAAATATAATAGCCACTAATTCAACAAACAGGGGAAAGCAGGGGGCCAATTCGAGACAACATAAATTTCAAGTTTATTATAAAGGACTGGCCATCGGAATCAAATTTTCTCTTCTAGGCAGATATAGTGAAACTGGGAATCAAGTTTACTATGTGCATATTGGAACCCAAGCAATGGCTCCAAAATACCTAGAAGAGAAACATTTGTATCCAAATGTCATCTTCATGTCCCAACTTACACATTATAGGTAAGAATAAAATATATCACTTATTCAATATATGTAAAAGAGTAAGTAATAATAAATAGCATTATGCTTTATAGTCAGGAAAAAAAGCAATTCAGTCAGTTAATTACAAATGAACTGTAACTCTGGCTATAATTTAATATAAGGGACTCTATATTGTTTATTCATGGATAATACAAAAACAAAAAACAAAACAAAACAAAACATGTTCTCAATGTGTTAATGGGCTTGTTATTCAATGTCAAAAACATTTAGATCAAAACATTGAATTGACATTTTATTTTAATCGCAGTTGTGTAGTAAAATAGACATGGTAATACTGTACATTCAAAGAGGCACTTGGAAGACAGGTTGCTGTGGAGGGGCCTCAGGCTGTGGTCCTGAAAGTTTGCAGTGCTCACATCACCTAAGAACTCAGAAGCGAATGGTTCTGGGTCTCACTCCAGATCTACTAAATCAGAAACCTGAAAGCTGGGACCCAGCACTGACCATTCAATGAGCTCTCCTTAACATGGTCTGTATGCACACTAAAACACACCAAGGTCCCCAAGGTATGCTCTGTGGTCAGGCCAACTTCATGCTAACAGTTAAGTCTTTCCTTCATGTGTTGTGTGTCCCTTAGTGAATTAATTACACTCTGTGAGTTTTCTCTTGAATCTTTAAAAGTGACATTATAGTCCTTGCCTCACTAAAGTTTGAGGAGAAACAAAATGAAATACAGAAAAATGCCTAGCACAAAGTAAGTGCTTAAAAACAAAATCCTACCTACCCGCCTCCCAACTCCCTGGCCAGGAACACGACATTAAAAACACAGGAAAAAACACTTTTCTTTTGAACAAGTACTAAGTAACTAAAATCACTGTTCCCATGACTAAAGCTCTTCATTCTGAAAAACTTAATTGTAGCTACAATCTTCTCTTCATTTTGTGCTATTAACTCTACAGCTTTAAAGTAAATACTAAATTAAAAAAATACTGACTAGTAAGTAGCAATGAGAACATGACTCCCACTGCTAAAAAAAAAAAAAAAGCAATTTCTACCCAAAGTTCCTAGAGTCTATTCCTTGAAGGCTAGTGCACTGTGCAGTGTCTTCTTGGACATGATAGCATTCCAAGATGGGTATTTGAAACTATTTACAAAATATAATTCAGTTTTGAAAGTAAACACAATTGCTGTTTTTACAAAAACTAGAACTTCACAGAGGTAATGGCACTTTTCAGGTACCCTTTCTCTCATTGCGCAAGTGCATTCTACAGACCTTAGACACTCGAGTTCTCGTGTAGAATGCTGGAAACGGCAAAAAGGCTCAGTGTGGTTAAGGTGAAATCAAATCCTACCGTTTCCACTTATGATTGAGGAAAAACCAAAGTTGACCTCAGTATCCAGAACCACGTAGATACAAATGATTCCTGACATAGCTCTCTGAAATGTACATGTGGGAGTGTGTAGGAACCAGGCAGCACGTAAAGATGCAAATTCATCCTGCGGCTTGCTCATCAGCACAAAGCGGTATTCAGTCAGTAGTGGCACAATGACACTGATCTCCACGTGAAAACGTGTTCCAATATCCTTTCCTCCACCCAACGCTCCACACTGACACCTGGCATGGAGCAGAAACCTACAAAGTGGTTTTCATGTCCCTGCCCAAGAGGAGGTTGGTGTTGATGCCACCTCTTCTGCGTTAGCTCCCAGGAACTTGGCCAACACCTGTAGAACAACACATCCACAACTCAGATGCTTTCTCCTTTTGAGATAGCTTGCCCCTTTTCTCCCTGATTCTCCAAATGTTCTCATTTAGAGCTGTTTGCTTGTGTTTCTTCCTAAAGTGGTGTTAGCCTTTTAAAAACTGAAAGGATTATTTTCAGTGCTTTTTATAGCTATCAGGTGTCACGACCAAGCAAGGCCCACCCACGCTTAGGATGTCACTGTAATCTCTTGTGGCAAAAATTCACTTCGTTTTAATGTCCAGTACAGAAAAACAAAACTCATAGCAGACTCACATTTAACATTGTGAAAAGCAACCATCACAATGATTATCTGTTGACTAGTACATGAAAGTTGAGATATGGCTAAATAGAAGTTATTTAAAACTCCATGTAATAACTATAAATGAGAATAAAAACATAGAAATGGAATGTATTCAAAACTACATATCTCTTGACCCGGTCCATCACTTTACCAGCCATGACCACACTTTTAAACATACACAGCAAGAACTTTTGCAATAAGGTTCCCAATTAGACATTTTTATTATGAGATGCGGAAATATGAACATGGTTATTCTTTTAAAATTAATGTCAAAACTTAAATCCCTAACCTGCATTCACGACACCTGTGACTCCCATTGGTTAACATATTTTGAAAGATGTGAAACAATTTGGTACACCTGCAATTTGAAAGCTTTATACATTTAACACACATTCTTTGGACTTCTGGTTTATTCTGAAGCAGTTTTTAAAAACTCACAATTGTGAATAACCACAAGTTTGAACATTTTAACTGTATTAGTTTTCATTCTGATTTACATTGTGTGCGAGTGTTTAAGAAAGTCCACACCACATTCCTGATCCCTAATTAGAAGGAAAATCAGAGGGTCAGTAAAGTTGTGATTAGCTCTTCCTACATTCCCCTCATATGCTCACAGAGTTACAACAGCAATGAAATGGCAATGGCACCCTTTTCCCTAGTGGTACAAAAACGCAATAGAAATATCAAGAAACCCCTACTTTCCTCCTAGGTGCCTACTGATTTTAAAGACAGGCACGTGACCTCCTTAGAGCTGACTTTTCATTTTGTAATTCTGAGGAGAAAATATATTATCCCAGAGGGCTTGCCAGTCAATGAATGGTGTATTTCAGAAAAGAATGTGTGTGATCACTTGAAAATGTCAGTCATCTGATACAAGGGCACTCACTCACATCCTGTCACATAGAACTCTGGAATGCTTTATACTAAATGAATCAACCAAAACACACCGACTTCATAGTCTTTATGCACATAATGTAGCATGGAATCATGATGCTTTTGAAATACTCTGTGCAGAAATATTTATTTTTTAGCCAATATTTTCCTCAAAGATTGGTATGTGGTGTTGACAGTGTAATCTATTTGCACAGCTAGTTTTGCAATAACCTTCTACAAATAACTGTACATAAGAAAAATGTAAATTTCATGTAAAAATGGTTGCAAACTTTTGGTAGCTGAAAGCATACAAGTTGTATTGAAAAAATAGTATATATATATAATTTAAGGATGAAACATATAATTTCTGATCTATTTATACATGAAAAATTCAAGACTTTGTAAAAGAATTTATTTTGGGGGAAAAGAAAGTAAATCTTATTAGCTAGTGTACTTTTAATAGTGAAGCCAACAAATTCCAACATTTTGTTAGGTACAGTACTAGATATAGGCATGGTGGTGCTGAACAATTCAAAATTCACATCATTGTAACAGTGCTAGAATTTCACCGACTTCTAGTAGACCACTAGCAAGCTGGGCTGAGCGGTGAACGCACTGTCTGAAATTAAAGAACTCAAGACATTTTACTTATTGCCCCATCAGAATCACGGCAGGAAATGACTGAAATGTTTATTGCTAGCTAGGATTTTTCTGAAGGATAAATGGCCTTTGACACACATTCAAAATGGCTCATTCATGATGAAAGCTTGGCTCATCTTTTCCTTCAAGAATGGAAGTACACAGATATTATTTCCTCTTACTTAGGTTTCCTACAGGCTTAATTTCTCCCCTAATTGCTTTCGTGCCACTTGAGAAAATTCGCACTATCTTCAAAGACAATTTTAAACAAAATTTGTTGGCGCTGACACAGCATGGGCTAAGGGTAGCATTGGCTGTGTAGTAGCATAGATTCCTCATGTTTCGTCTTTAAGATTTCAGAAGCCAAGAGCATATGTTCACGTATGATAAATGTAAAACCAAACTTATTACAGATAGCAAGAAATATTGCATTGCCCTCTGTGAAACTGATTGTGAAATCAGAGACAAAGTATACATAGCAAAATGTCTGGAAATGTTCCATAGCATAAGTATTCTTATCCTAAGACATATTTGAGGGTTCTACACACACAACTGTGAGAAATTAAATATGCGTTAAAAGCCCAGTAAATCCTAAAGTCTATTTTAAATGGCCTATCATTTACAAAGTAACAGGAGACTTTAATTAGTGTATTTCTAGAACAGTAACATCCTCACTGCTCAGGTTATCTTTTGCAATTTCAGTAATCATAGAAAAATAAGACAACTAAATAAGCAATACAGACAATTAAAGCAAAATGGTTATATGCATGTGTCTATATATGTAGATGTTTATGCTTAGAGAAAAGGTTAAACTACAACCCCCAACACATCAGAATTGGAAATCCCTCATTCCTAGTTCACACATCTCTCCATATAGCTATTAAATGATGCTCTATGTCTTGAGTTAATGAAGAGGCACACCTGACAAACCAGCACATGGGCAAAATACCCTGTGCATTTTTTTAAATTGTGGTGCATTGTAGTGAGGTAGAAGCACTCTGCACATCTACTTACTACACGTTTAAACTGACAGAAGCAAGTCGGGGTTTTAATATAATGCACCACGCGTTATGAAGCTACTTAGGTAAAAGGAGTGATAAGAACATATGCTCTTTTCTTTGTAAGATGGAGAAAAATGTTTAAAACTTAGTAGAGGGAAATATAAGAGGGAGTCAGAGCACAGGTTTCCTAGCATTCACATGATAGGTAGGTTTTGAGTCAGAAGGGTTCCCCAAGTTCTCCAAATGTTTTGCTGGAAAGTTTTCTTCTCAGTGTTCTAAGCAACAGGGAAACTGCAATTTAATATATGGAGAGATGTCTGATCTTGTTGTAAGTGGGAAATGATAAGGAGAGTATTCATTTAAAATACAGTCTGCATCTGCATTCACCACCGCACAGGCATTCTAAACATTTGCATTTGTATCCTCCAGTAGTATGTGCATACTCTCCGACATATTTTAGATGACACCTTAGCCTTAGGCATTTATTTGAGGAAGCTTAACTCACTACATAAATGATGACATTAAAACAAACAAACAGGATCTTTTCAAGCAAGTACCAGTGTGATAAAAGAGCCGCGGCTGTGTTTTAGGCTCTACAGCAAAGGATGTGCTAATTGAAGGCGGTCTGGGATTCTGAGCAATGGGTTTAATTTACAGATTTTTAAAAACATACCCCTATCAAATTTACAGAAAGCTGTTAACGAAACAAGACAAAATCTACCCACTTTAGTTTGTCCAAGATAAGATGACATTTAAAAAAAGCACATTTCTCACAAATAGTATTTATTTTGCTTGTCCAGTTAGTAATATCATAAGATTACAAGTGAACCTGATTTGTACATTTTAATTAAAGAAATACCACAAATTGATTTTGTTACTTTTCAATTGCACAGAGTTTAAACTACCTTGATAAATTCGACTTTCTTCCAGGGTAAATGCCTTTTCTGGAAATAAATATATAACTTGAATATATATTTGTTACTTTCTTTTTCTGAATGCATGCCTAAAATAGGTTAATGAGCACAGTCCTTAAAATACATTTAAAGTGGACCAAATCAGATTCCATAGTATCGATTTTTCCCTTGATGTAATTTAAAATGTATAAACTGCCACTCAAACTAGAAGTGCAATACCTGACATTTAATCATTTGGCAATCTTTTAGATAACAGCTGAATTAATGCACTGTTGTTTGAACTGACGCATCTCATAACAGTATATATGTAACAAATTTTGTATGATACAAAACTTTACAGCAAGCTATTTGAATGTTTATTTAAAAAAATTCCCAAAACGACATGGAAACATGTTTACTGTATAAATAAAAGCACTTATTCATCACGAGTGTTCACTAGTCGATAATTTATAACATCATAATGTGGCTTCCTTTTCCCCACACCAGCTCCAGACTCTGCACATGATTCAGTGGTTCAGTTACTCTTCTTTCAGGTTATCAAATATGTGGTCATGAGACAAACAATCCAAGGACAATGCCTGTGGAGTATTCATCAGCCACTCCTCATAAAACTGACCAGATGGATTTGACAGCCCACTATAGAGGAATCAATGTCAAAATGATTAGACATCACTTCTTTCCAGGATCTTCTCAAGGAAGAGCTGATTTTAAGTTTTCCGTATTTATAAAAAAGGTCTGTCCATTAAAACAAAACAAAACATGGCGTTTTCTTTAAAAAACATTTAATTTGGTCACCAGTTAAAATAAAATTATATCTATGAGCATTTTTTTTCAACTAGACATATATTCAATTAAAATACATGAAAATTCAGTGGTCCATCAAATCTTCATCAACAAAGACAGGGTGTTTTTCATGTGAGAAACTAAATTAACTCTGACATCTTATACCAGAGAACTTAATTCGGAAAAACCTGGTGACTACTTGAAATCTCTATAGAAAATTCCCCAGAAATGCCTATAAACTGTTGCCCTAACCTAGGGGCAGCGCTTAGGTTTAAAGAACAAACACGAATGAATGCTGACCCTTCACTCAAATGTGTCATTCTCCAAAACTGGTCAACTTAGAGAAAAATGACATTTTAGGTTATCCATGCCATCACTAATGAACGAGAAAGGTATCATCATTTTAAAACTTTTAGGTGGGCATGGGTGTGCAGGCCTTGAATCTCTGCATATAATGGGGGGGGCGGGACAAGGGAGGAGGACCATGAGTTTGTGTAGTAAGATCCTGTCTCACAAAACAAAGCTACACAAAAAACAGAGATTGTTTTTAAAAGAAAAAAAATAGGAAGACAATAAAATACATTGTAGGAAAATAAACAATGAAATAAAAAACAGGTAACACAATACCTACTACTGTAGGCTGACAGACCCAAATTCAGATCAAGTTTTAGGAGCCACAGTTTTCTTATTCATAGGACAAGAACATGAGGTTCTGTTCTCTGATGGTGTAATCAAAACCCAGGGACAGCAACAAGCGCAGACGTCCCCTCTGACCAGCTAGCTCCCAGAAACACCCACAGGCATGAACAAAATCAGAAGCATCACTTGTAACCTTTAGATAATATAAAAATTTTACCTAGACTTTAATTATTTGGCTTCATAGGCAATCTGTCATGAGACTATATTCCTATATCCTATTATTGTTAAAAAAAAAAAACAACTAAGGCTCAGATACGCTGATATCAATTAGCTACATTTCATTAACAACATTTCAAGACAGCATGCATATATCTGCACTGCCATAATTTTTCCAAAAATAATATATTCCCAAATAAAAAAAAACGTTATTGCATTGAACTGTGCTTTCAGGTTAAATAACAGAAGGGATGGGAGGAGCTTTAACAGAGAGGGATACAAAAAAGTTCATCAAACTCTTAATTCTAGGTAGTCCAGTCTGTTCGAGGGAAGCAGAAGAATTCTTCAGTATTTCTGCACCTTTGGAATGCGAGGATTTCAAATTGTCATAGTGCCCTGCAGAAACTAAGACACGAAGAGTGTTATCGCATGGCGACAACAAATGGGTTTTCTTTGCTTGAAATTAACTATATTCCAAGAGAACATTTACTGTAAGAAAATGAATCTGTTTAAGACACAACTCAAACACATATATAACAGTAAAGTATTGTCTATCCCATACCACCCATTAAGAAATATAACGAATCCAAAACAAAACCTCTAAGGCACAGGAAGCACATGTGAAAATCAATAGCTTCCACTTAGAAACAACTGGAACTGGATTCATGGAAAGTGTTTGAATTGAAAAAGTTGCAGCTTAGTATTTTGCCAAATATTTTCTCTCTCTCTCTTAGGAAAAGATAACCACAAGTTAACAACTTTTCATGAAAATAATGTTAGTGTTTACCATTAAAAATTGCAAAGATAAGCTGGGCGCTGTGGCACACGCCTTTAACCCCAGAACTTGGGAGGCAGAGGTAGGTGGATCTCTGTGAGTTTGAGGCCAGCCTGGTACAGAGTGAGTTCCAGGACAGCTTCCAAAACAATACAGAGAAACCCTGTCTCGATAAAAAAAAAAAAAAACAAAAACAAAAAAACAAAAGAAAGAAAGATAAACTACCAAACACCTGTCATTAACCTTATATTATTTTCTTTGTGGTCTGGATCAGTTAATGTCTTTCAACTTTTTATTGCATTTGTATATTTATCAATTAATTGTGCGTGCGTGCGTGTGTGTGTGTGTGTGTGTGTGTGTGTGTGTGTGTGTGTGTGTGTGTGTATGAGCACATGTATACATGCTCATGACCTCGTGTCATGTTGCATATGTGGAACTCAGAGAACAACTTTCAGGAGAATGTTTTCTCTCTCCACCACATGGGTCCTGGGACTAGAACTCGGGTTATCTGATTGGTGACAAATGCCTACATGCTAAGCTGCCTTGCTGGTTCCATCACTTAATTTTTTCAATAACTTAATGACAAAATGCAAATGTTACGGTGTATTCAGAATACTTACATCCTCATACATGAAGTTCACAATCCCTTGTTGCAAGTGATCTCTTCGCCTAAAGAAATCTTTACAAACAAAATTACATTTTAGATTTCTAATTGAAAACCCTTTAATTCCTAATACCGAATGGCTCCTGGTACTAGGGCTGACTGTATCTTAATTGTCTTAACATTCCAAAAAACTTAAATATGAAAATCTTCTAAAACTTGGAGATTTCAGTGTTTCTCTATTTATAGGCATGTTTTATTTTTTCTTCATATTAAAATTTATTGAACCTTCTGAGAATAAAAATAGTAAAATCATACAAAAGCAACCACTGTATTGCTTAGAGACAGACAATATCAGCAGCTTTACCAAGATTCAAGAGTAGTTACAACTATGGAGAACTAAAAGAAAAAAGACTCAAACATATAAATGAATTGACTCGAGTGACTTTAAAAAGGAAGTAAGTGTTTTTTAAATTGCATCATAGATAAACTTTCACCTGGAGGTGTAGCTTGGTGCTAATATGTGTTATAGCCATGTTTTAAATCCTTCAGGTTATTTAGATATCACAGTGAATAAAGAAGAGAAAAAATTTACAATTTGCTGAAAGAAACAAAGAGACTATTCAAGAAAGACGGTGACATAAACTGAATCCACATTAAACGCTGAATACCTGTCAGGGCACGAAGCTTCACACAGCAGGCAACATAGTCATCAAAGAAAATTCTGCCATTCTTGCTGTAGCGTTTAACAATAGCAGCTAATGTCTGAGGACTCAACCTATAACCTGAGAAAGAAGGTTGACACATTAAAACCTTCAAAGTAAAATACCATAAAATACCAAAATACCGCTATTAATAAAGTCATGAAATAGACTAACATTCAAAATTCTTTCTACACCAAATATATACCATTTATTTTTGGCAGGACTGAGGACTGACTACAGGTGCTTATACATGGGAAAGAGGCAAGGACTCTACCACCGAACCGAAGCTCTCAAAAGTATATTTTAGAAATACATTAAAGTAATATAAAAAATGGTAAGACACCAGATTCATTAATTCCACCAAGTGGTACATGGCTGACACAATTCTAGCTTTGTAACAAAATCAATTATAAAGAAAGAAAACAATTATGCCAGGAGATGGTGGCACATTCCTTTAATCCCAGTACTCAGTAGGCAGAGGCAGGTAGATCTCCAAGTTATATATATATAATTTTGAAATTACTCCTGGGGGTATTTGATAGGGGTCTTAACATTCCAAAATTGCAGTTTTTAAAGAGTATCAAAGGAAGGATCATTATTTATCTTTGTTATCATTCAAGTGCTATATTTCTAATTTAATGTCTATTTTTTTTCCTAAAGAACATCTGAAAATCAACCTGCTTAAAAGTGGTAGAAACAAGAAAATGTTATTTCTCCTATAAGTTTTTCTTTTTTCTATCCTTCCCACATATTACTACTTCATTAGTTTTTCTTCAAGCCTTATTGTTACTAATGTTACTCAGTGTGTTCATCTGTCTAAGTACAGTTTCTCATCGTGAACTGTCAGTGGTAAGTGCTTTGGATCAGTTTTAGGTTCTACACATATGACTGACTGCTTGATTGTTTTCATTTGAAAATATTTTATCTGAAAACAGGGATGTTTAAAAAGAATGAATACAAAATAATAGAAACACTAATTAAGAGATCCTATTTGCTACACTCCAAGCATGATGCTAATTACTTCATGAGACATGTACATATAACTCAGGAGAATGATGCATTATGATAGACACATTAATGGACCAGAAGATTTAAAAAAATGACATGAATCCAGCCAAAGATAATATCACTGCCAGAAGGAAAAACTCTGCCTATAGTTATAATAAAATATAACCCATAGGGCTAGGGGCTAAGACCAAGGCACTTGCCTAGTTTGAGCCCCAACACTACAAAATGAAATAAATCATACATATAAGATATCCATATGATTTCATATATATAAAATACATATATGCAATCATATGTATGTGAGATCATATATATAACATATATTATATATATTATAAACATGCTTAAAGTAAAAGCCATACCAAGACACACAAACCAACACAACTATGAGAAAGAGCATTCAAGTGTCCTTCTAGTGAGTTATGATCTAGATGTGGTATGAATACAGTTCCTAAAAGTTTCCCATCACTTGGATGACTTTAAAAATATTTGAAGGTGTAAACTGGAATGGTTGAAAACAGCATAACCTTTGATTAGAGTTTGAGGGGGCACACGTAACACTGCAATTGTTTGTAGGTCAGAAGACAACTTGGCAGGAGTCAGCTCTCTCCTTCTACAATGTGGGCCCTGGGAGTCCACCTCAAGCCATCCAGCTTGGCACTAGGTATTTTTACCCTTCTTGCAGGCCCCAGAATACTCTTTTCTTACACTCAGATGCTTGATAAACCTGTTTACTTTTTGGAAAAAATCAAGTAAAATATACTGTTTTAAAAATTATACTTGAAGGTCGACTTCAACCAATTATTATTATGGATCTATGACCAAACATGTTTATATGGCCAGGATTTTCCCTAGATACAAAAATAACATGTTTAGTTATATAACTAACCTGAAAAAAATATTTAGTTTAAATTCTTTGACATATAATTTAAGCCCACATGCCTTGAGCTCACATTTTAATTTTCAAACAGGTATTTTCATGTATATACATTTTGTTTATAAATAACTGTGCATAAAATTACAAGATAAGAGGATTAAGAAAACTATTTAAAGATAGGCAAAACTACATAAAGTAGTATGACTCACACTTAAAACTCAGGAGACCAAGGCAGAAGGATCTCAGTAAATTTGAGGCAAGCCTGGGCTACACAGGGAGTTCCAGATCAGTCTAGGTTATAGAGTGAAGAGAGAGAGAGAGAGAGACAGAGACAGAGACAGACAGAGACAGAGAGAGACAGAGACAGAGACAGAGAGAAGTATCACTCTGTTACCTGTTAGGAAATTAAACATCATTGTACATTACCATTCTTTGCAAGTAGACAAAGAACGTTAGCCTAGAAGAAGTACAATGAAAATAGTTACATCTTTTAAACTAATCTGAAATGCAATCTTCCCACTTTGAAGTTTTTCTGTACCTATCTTGTGTATTCTATACTGCATAGAAAGAAAGATGGAAAACAAAACAAATTATCTTTTCTGTTGAAAATCTAGCCTCCAGTATAGACAGGTGTGGTTGACTGAGACAAGCCTCTCATGAATAATTAAAGAGCCCACCAAGTTACAAAAGAATGGAATGCAAGTGGTGGATGCTAACATTAGGGATGATAGTTATACTCAGGGAACTCAGAATGAATGAAAGATTATCTTTGGAAGACATCTCAGACAAATTTACAGACTGGAGACAGGGCTCAGTGGTACAATGCTGGTCCTGAATATGCAAGACTGGGGATTCAATCTTCAACGCTACAACAAACAAAGTAAAGAAATAACAATAATAATGATTGCATTAGTGTCTTTGATCAGGATTTACCTACAATTGTGAGTCTCAATTAAGGGATACACTAGGGGCTGGAGAGATGGCTCAGCGGTTAAGGGCACTGGCTGATCTTCCAGAGGACCTGGGTTCAATTCCCAGCACCGACATGGCAGCTCACAACTGTCTGGAACTCTAGTTCCAGAGGATCTGATACCTTCACACCAATGCACATAAAATAAAGTTAAATGAATTATTTTTTTAATTTAAAAAAGGGATACACTAGCAGAAAACAGTTCTTTATTACTTAGCAAATTAAAGCAGCTAAGATTCATAAGATCACTCAGTGGCTAAGAACACTTTCTGATCTTGCAAGAGGAACAAGGTTCGGTTACTAGTATGCACACCCTTCTGTAACTCCAGTTCCTGAGAATCTGACACCGTCTTCTGGGTTCTTGGAGCAATAGGCACACACATGGTACACATACATACTTGCAGGCAAACTCTCAAGCCCATAAAACAAAACAAACAAGTCTTTTATAAACATTAAAGAAATCCATAATTTGATCAGTGAGTAAAGATGGATTTTAAAGGATGTTAATAGTCTTACCCATAAGAGCAATGGCTTGACTCAGCTCATGATGTTCTACAGAGCCACTTTGGTCTTGATCAATTGTCAGGAAGTTCTGCTTCCAGGCAGTAAGAGCTGCCCAAAGTTCCTTGAATTCATTGAATCCCATTTTTCCTGTATAATCTCTCTAACAATTTTATTAACAAAAATAAGTTTTGGCAGCTGAGACAATTTATCTGATCCCATACCACAAACCACTAACTAAAAAGAACATATTCATGTGTAGTTAACTAACAGGACCCAGTATATGAAGAGATTTCTGCATGAAAATGAAACTATATAAACTTTAAACTGGATCTTACAAAATACAGTTGACTCTAAACTTAACAACTGGTTTAATTTTAGGAAATCAATGATTTTATATTTGGTATTTTCTATTTTTACTCAAGGATACATCCAACATGGCAATCATAATTCTGCAGGTTTCCAGACTGAAGGCTGCAAAAACATATTCAGTATCGAAATATTAGTCTATCAGTTTTAGCTATGTAACATTATGGTATTCTTCACTTTCAAAAATAATTAAAAATTACAAACAATATAAAAATCACTATAAGAAAAATAAAATACATTTTTAAATGACAGTCTCCAACTGAGGAACACAGAGAGCAAGAGAAATAGTCTTCCCATGGGAAGAGCACACTGGTTGCTTGTATGTATGTTTTCAGGTCTGACCATTTTGTACTGGATAAACTCCAGTTTATAAAAGACTCAAGGGGAAAGGAGACTGGCAATTAGGTAAAATATGTGACAGCTTATAAAGGGATCTGTTGAGAAAGGAGGAGCCACCAGCTGAGGCAATGTCTTCTTTTCAGAAAGAGGAAAGGAAGACCAACACAAGACACCTTAACAAAAGGACTTCTGGGGGGAAACACAATCTCACAGCAAACTCCTGCTCCTCTGGCTCCCACAGCCTTTCCCCCTATCTTCCTGCAATGATGCCTGAGCTGAGCTACAGGCAACTGAGGAATGCAGAGAGCAGGAGAAATAGTCTTCCCATGGGAAGAGCACACTGGTTTGTCATCCAGTACAAAATGGTCAGACCTGAAAACATACATATAAGCAACATTATACAGAGAAGGGTGTATTTATGTACTTAAGAATATATCTGTATATACATATATGTATGTAACACAATGAGAAACAAGGGCCATGGATTTGAAAGAGAGAGCAGGGAGGGGTATATGGGAAGGTTTAGAGGGAGAAAAGTAAAGCTGGAAATTTTATAATTATATTATAAATAAAAGGAAAAAATAATGAGATTGTTAGAAACATTAACATTTCCATATTTATTTACCAAGAAGCAACAAGAAAAAGAGTTCTGTTTTTCCAAACTTTATTATAATTATATTCAACTAGTTGGGCTGATTTACCTAAAACAGGAGTATGTTAGCAAAATTCAGGTAAGCATACAAGATTCTTTTAGCTCCTTGATATTAAAGAGTGAATAAACAATTTAGATTCACTGTTATACTGCTTGATAACATTTTGAAATCCTTAAAACCAATGAAATAAGTTTCAAAATACCTAAAGAGAAATTATAAAATATTCTGCTAGGAACAACAGCTGGTTTTCTTTAGTTGTTCTGGATGGTGTCAGTGCTAGGCAACAACACTCCACACCCTCAGTGAGTGATTATTGGTACAGAAATGTGGGTGTATTGCTGTGTCATTGTTGTACAGAATACCCAAAGAAATGTTCTGCCTGCATGTAACCTGCACACCAGAAGAGGGCATCAGATCTCATTATAGATGGTTGTGAGTCACCAAGGATTGTTGGGAACTGAACCCAGGACCTCTGAAAGATCAATGGTTCTAACCTCTGAGCCACCTCTTCAGCCCGGCTGGTCATGTTCTGTCTGCAGTCAGAAGCAAAGAGAAATGAATGCTTACTCCTTTTCCTCTTTTCATTCCAACTCGAGTCCATGAGGTGGTGCGGTTCACACTCTGAGTCTTCCTAGAAATGCCCTGATAAACTCACCCTGTGGTGCATGTCCTGGGTAAGCCCAAGTCCAGCCATGCTTATGATGAAGACTACCCATTGCAGCGGAGCACATGATTTAACACCAACAGATCAAATGCATAACAGTCCCAATTTTATAAATAAAGAAATTTGAGCCAAGAAATGTGGTTTTCTAATTTCATGAGGTATTATATAGAACTACCAATACTGAGGCCTAATGTTCATCCACAAATAAACTACTGGAAATTAGGGAAGGTTAAGTGAAAAAAAATTCTGTCGTATGCCATTTTTTTTTCAATTTAACTTGGTTCACACTCAGGAAGTGGAACAGTCTAACCAGATTAAAACAAAAATTAAAAATTAAATCAGCAAATAAGCATGTCTTCAATCTCAGGATATGACTAGGTATTTAAAAATTAAATGTTTTTATAGAGTGTAGAGACAGAATTTTACAGGTTTTACTTCCTCCTCACAATCCACTGGAGTGGACAGAATTTTTTTGGGGGGGGAAGGCTTAAACACTTAGAGGAAAAGGGAATATGTGTAATACACATATGTATACACATATATATTGCAAGCTATAAAGTCAAGGGATATGGCTATTTAATGTTTGGCATAAAGAGAAATGCTGAGAAACAACCTAGTTACCTAGGGAAAGATGCCAAATGTCTAAGAATTGGCAGCTTCTGAACATGTATGTGTGTGAAGGTAGAGCTAAAAACAGAGCTGAGAGAAGGGCTATTTTAAGAGCATGTGAAGACCCAGTCCCTCTCTGCCTCTATTTGGATGGCTGTCACACCTACCCTTTTACCCAGCAGGAGTTTCACCTTCCGGAGATGTTTCTGGATTATAGGGCACAATGGAATGAACTATGCCAAAAACAAGCCAATTAACTAAAAACTTGCAGGCTTAAGAACCCTGAAACACAGCAGAGAAGGCAACCCAAAGGAAACAAAAGAAATCTCCCATGACAGTGACACCTGAATTCCACAGTGGAACTGCCCAGCTTCACCCACTCTCCAGTGAGGCTCACAGTGAAGCAGCCCAGGGCTTATACTCGGTATTTTCGTGAGACATGAGCAACCAAGTGTCATCAGACACCCAAGAAATGACAAGGAAGATAACCAAATAAGCTAGAAAGAAAAGAATAATGTTGAGGGATGAAAGGCTATGTAACAGCATATTAATAGTTTCAGAAAGATAATAGAAAACGCAACATTTGCGGAAAAAGCACAGAAGCTCTTAGCTCTTACAAAACACACCACCAGAAATGAAAGACACAGAAGGTTTACAAAAGAAAGCTGAGGACATTCCATAAAAAAGAGAACAGACGACTCAGCCCCGGAAACGCAACTCAAGAAAATTCCCCGGAACAAAAAAGTACAAGAGACTCCAGACTGAACACCCCACAAGGTTCCCCTTGCAGGACCACAAGGCACTGTGAAATGTCAGAGCAGCGGGGACTTGGGAGGGACACAGCGGTCCCTCAGCTCCCATAGAGGAACAACAGTCTCTCCTGGGTGAGAAAGAGACCGAGCTGATGGCAGCTGAGACTTCTGAAAATGTTGTGTGGAAACGGCAACAACAAAACAATACAAATAATGGCAGTAATGTCGAAGACAGGAGCATTTAAAGCTGCCAGTCACTTTCCTGCCTCTGGGCAGATGCTGCTTGTTGCTTTATGAAAAATAAGAGTTCTATGAAATGGGGTGTAGAAGAGAACTCCTCACCTTGGCAGCCAGTCATTCAAGTGATTGAAACAAAACGAAAGCATTTTCAAACTCTTGACGTTTCAAAACTTGATGGTAAATCCACACACTTTTCCATTAAGAGCTACTTAGTGAGATATCTCAGTGGAATAACGAATTGTGTTTAAAATATATTAGACAACAGAGATAGAATAAAAAACAAGAGATGCGGCTCCAGAGGGAGAAAGAGTAGCAGAATCGTGGTGAAAGAATGAGACCCACCCATGAAACACAGAGCTCATAAGGAAGCTCTGGGAGAGCCAGAGGGATGCAACACGGGGCTGTCCGGTCCAAACGAAACACCGATTTCCCAAAATCCAAAAGGCAGCACGTGCGTCCAGAAATAACAGTCTTGGCTTAGCTAGAGCTGGACTATTGACAGATTTCTGGCCGTTAGATAAAAACCAGCACGCCTCAGGAACTTTTGAAACAGGTTCCCATCTGCCAAAGGAGTTCTTTCTTTCCCTTGCCTCTGGCAGAAGGCACATATGGCTCTCCGTGAACTCTTACTGTGTTTGCCTGTCACAGAGCACACCAGCCTCCAGGCACCAGGCACCTACAGTGCCTGTTCACAAGACCTACTACACCTTTCGAGGGTCCCACTCTCTTCTGGCCCTTCTCACCCCCCCAGGCGTCCCTCCTCCCAGATACCCATCTGTTCTCTATATAAGGACAGAATTGTCCTACCTGCCCTACCCCCCCTTCTGTACTATCCCTGCTCTTTCTAGTCCTGGTTGTTCTCCCTTCTCTACAAGACAGCCCAGGGCCATGTCCGGTGTCCCTCTTGTTCTCTCAGCTTTGGACTCCTCCAGATGCCTCTGGATAGTTTCTCTCTCTTATCCACAATGAAATTCTTCCCCTAACGGAGCAGCCATTTCAGCAGTTTCTTTACTGGGCCCCTCCCATACACTAGCCCCTGTGAATTTGGGGGAAAACAAAAAGCTGCATGAAAAAGAAAAGTACTCATACACTGTGGCAAGAGACAGACACAAGCAACATGTAGACAGCAGAGATGGGTAAATGCTGATGAAGTTCCTCAAATCACTACAGTCCATCAGCAGGGCAAAGACGTGGAGTGGCTTCCAGGCTGGGAGAAGGTTAAATACTCATTGTTCCTAGCAAGACAAAACGATTGATAATCACAAAGCTACAACTGTACACAGAGGTAAAACTCTGGAAAAAGCCATTCACAACAACATATAAAAGATGTTTCCCCTGAGCAGTTAGTGTTGCAAGTCAGGAATGTAAATGAACATTTGTTTTCGTGATACCTTGTACAGAGCTCTCTGATTCTTCAAACGTGGCATATCTACCTGAGTTTATAGTGTTTTTAATATTCTAGGTGTGGGACTAAAACGCTGCGAATGCATTTCCTACTCTAATTCCCTGTGCAACAAGAAAGGGAAAGCAAAGCAATGCAAGGTCTCACGTGCGTAAGTCCCACTAATTCCAGACTGTGTCAGGCATCTCTGAAGCTCTTCTGCGTCCACCTCACCATCCTGCAAAGGAAACAAAAACAAAACAGAAAAATAACAATGGCCATGGGCTTTAATGTGCAATGCTACCAAAAGACATTAAAAGCTTAACTATGTGCTGTGCTAGGGCCACCAAGAAACAGCAATTATCAAAACGGTATAAACCACAAAACTCACAAGATAAATATTGCCAGCAAAGGCACATCACAGACTGTGTAACCTGGATAACCTATTCCCTGGGTCTGAGATGCAGGGCAGTACCCTTGTATTCTCACAGTGAAAACAATGCAAAAGGCTTTGTCACATGACTCACGGTCACCTTTGTCATACTTCCTGAGAGCATCTAGTTGCTCCCTTCACATCTGTATCACTGTACTTGGAGGGAGTTTGCCAAATTACAGATGCCATACTTATCCTTAAAACTGTGATTCAAGAAAAATTAGTATGTTTTTAAGAATGAGGCTGAGGCAGGCCGATCTCTGTGAGTTTGAGGCCAGCCTGGTCTACAGACCAAGTTCCAGGACAGCCTCCAAAACAATACAGAGAAACCCTGTCCTGAAAAAAAAAAAAAAAAAAAGAGGCTGGGTTAGAAAAAATATTTCTCCAATAATGTGGCCATAAGAAGGCCTTTCCGTCACATTCTACTCAGGTAAACATTACCAATAATTGTCTATCCTGAAGAAACCATTTCAAGCCAATATTATGTTTCAAGAAACATAAATTATGAAGTTGTTTGATGTACTGTCAGCAAAAATAAAGCAGTAAAATCTAAGGGGTATCAAAAAGAGAAGCAAACCGAATGGATAAAAGCTTCATTTGTTGACTTTGGGAAGTCTAATAACAGGCAGTATATTCCCAACATATTGAAGCCCAGTATAATTTTGGGGGAAAAAATGTCCTAGTGTAATACAATCCCTGTTGCACAAGGAAGCATAATTACATGGAAACTCAACTCAGGGTACCTGTTATGTCTTCCAAGAAGATGCATTCTAGAGATAGGCTACCTGCACTAGTTTAAGGGCCTAAGGGTCTGGCCTGGTCGAGGTCATCTGGGCTATTAGCCACCTCTGGCTCTGATTGTGGGAGCTTGGGAGAGCCTCTGGCTATGAGTCATTTAGATTATCAGTCACCTCCAGTCTCAGTTGTAAGAGCTTGATATGGCCTAGACCAACAGGCTGTTTGTTAATCAGTTCCAAATCTCAGCTTTCTGGACAGAAAACAGGTTTTTCATCTTTCCCGTTGGAAAAACAATCCTGTGTGTGTTAACATTCCTGGTTTCTCTGAAGACCTGAAGGCTCCAGGACCTTAGTGCTACACTCTCAACCAAAAAACAACTATACACTAATCTGACAGGTCTACAGCCAGGCCACTGCCATCAAAGTTCAAACCAAACACCAGGTGTGCTCAACTACAGTAAAAGGTTAGAAAATCTTTTTTTTTCTTGTTTTGACATTTAAAAACTGTCCTCTCAGACATCCATGATAACATAATTGTTTTTTTCCATAACTCTTAAGTGGAAAGATACTATTAATAAGAATTTTTAAACCTTGTAATTTCTTCCCATTTACAAATCAGCACAATATTCAGGCAGCACAAGGATACACAGAATTCAATGAGCAGACAACATAATTAAAACATCCAAGAAACAACCATGTGAATACAAGGAAAATTTCCAGCAATGTAACTAAAACCATAAGAAATAAATCCTATGCAGTCTGGTGTTTTCTATCCCAGTACTGCCCTCTTTTGCAACTTTCTCACACAAGGCCATCTATCCCCACACCGTAGGGCTATTATTACTATTTTTATGTTTCTAAACATAGAAGACAAACTTTGTAGGGTATGGAGCTACTGTAGTAGCAAAATTAGTTGGGAAAAAAAAACACCTACAAATAAGTTTTGTGAACTTCAGCTAAAGAACATAAAAGTATTTGAGGATCTTGTCTGTTCTGAGGGAATGAACTTTAAGAAACATGTCTGATCAAATAAGCCTGAATTTGATGCACCACACATCAAACCTGCACTTTCTGTTTTATGCACAAAGGTCCCGGCTTTCTTCACTCACTGCTTTGTGTAGATACAATGTGTATCAAAAGGAGTTTGTGCTTTATAATTAGAAACATGTACCCTGCCTATGAAAAGCTCCTCCTTCATTGAAAAATTAAAGGCTTCAGCCAGGTGGTGGTGGACCATGCCTTTAATCCTAGCACTTCGGAGGCAGAGGCAGGCGGATTTCTATGAATTAGAGGCCAGCCTGGTCTACAGAGTGAGTTCCATGACAGCCTCCAAAGCCACAAAGAAACCCTGCCTTGGAACCCCACCACCAAAAACAAAACAAAAACAAAAAAAAAAAAAGCAAAGAAAAATTAAAGGTTACATACTGTATCTGCTAACTTCCTCAACACTTTCAACATTTTACTTGTTTTAATGTTTTTTTTTTTTTTGCTTTGAAATGGGTATATTATTATGTTGCCAAGGCTAGACTCAAGTTCCTGGGCCCAGTGGTCCTCCTATGCCAGCCTCCTGGGCAGCTGGGACTGCAAGCAATCTACTGCACCGTGATGACTATTTGCAGATTCTTCAGTTTATGAAGTGTTTGCAGGCATAGAAGAAAAGTTGTTTATGTACATAATCTTTTCTTTCAAGTTGCATTATTCCACCCAATTATCTCCTAAAAACAAGCAAATTTAACCATGATGAATTAACCAGTCTATAATTTACTGTTTTACAAAAATGAAGTCATCAGACAGGTTGACTAGGCTTCGGACATTTAAGCAGAGTCAATATGAAAGGGAGGCAATCGAGACCTGTGTGCAACCACAAGGTCAGAGCCTGTCTTAAAAGCTGAGAAAAATGAACTTTTGCTCAACACACTGTTCTTACATTAAAGAAAATCACATTAAAGATCCATTTGTTTTTATTACTGGTTTTTAAAAATACATTTAAGTCGTGCACCCAAGAATAAAATCTCTCATGTCCTAACCCAGCCTGACCCCAAGTAACTTAACAATACAGCAACAACTAAAGGTTACACCGGGAATTTACATTAGGGCACCTTCTATGGCAACTAAGAAGGGTGATGAGAGAATGGGTGTATTTAATTCTTTACTAAATACACTTGAGGTCTATGATGGTTCACTGTATATTAGTTATGCTTTCAAAGTATTATGAAGTGGATTTACATGCACACACACATACATGTATAATTCCAACTCTAAATCAGACTTTAGTACATTATGTAGAAGCAAACATGGCTTCCTGTCATTGTGACACAGATGTCATATGGCTTGAATATAGGAAGAGAGATAGGGTGCCAGACTCATGAAAGGAACCCAAATAATCCACGTGAACATACACTGTTAAGGATATACCCTCTGAGACTTCTGTAGAGAAGGACCAGGCTGTGACCTACATACACCTCACTTGGGATGGGATTTTCAGCATCATCATGACATCATCACGACATATCAGCTGAGAGCTGACCCAAGACATAATCCAGGTGATGGCATAACAAAAATATGAGAAAAAGAACGGGGTGGGGGTTGGGGGGTGGGAGGGGCAGGAAAAAAGGATGTTAAAGGAAGTGGAAAGGGGGAGGAAGAAAGACAAACTTCAGTTGGGACAAATTTGAAAGTCAAAATTTCAAACTTCACATAAAAATGATAGCCAGAAAAAAATAAAGTTTTCAAAGAAAATCCATATTAGATAATGGTGGAGGAAGTCCTTCTGTGTATATGTTGTCTGATTGGTTGATGAATAAAGCACTAATTGGCAAGATAGGAGTCAAGGAGGATTCTGGTAAATGTAGTCAAGAGTGGAGGGTCGCCATGTGATCCCAGAAGGAGAGGGCGTAAGTCTGACGTTCTTGGTATAATATATATATATATATATACATATATATATATATATATATGTTATGATGGGTTAATAATTAAGTCAGAGTTAGAAACCATAACAAGAAGCCAACAGCTTCATAATTAATATAGTGTCTCGTGTGTTATTTGGGGGCAGGGACAGCAGCAGGACCCGGGATGCTGGCAGAAAGAGAACACATTACAAGATAAAATTACTTTCATGAGACAATCATTAAAACAATCGTTATGCAAATTTACAGAGCCATGAACAAATGAGTCTTAAGTAAACTCATTCATTTAGCACACACTAACTGAGGGCCCACTGCACACGAGTCCCTTTCAACACATCAGGCATCAAACTGTGCAAAACAAGCGCCTTGTCTTTACAGTGTTTGCATTTCAGTGGTAAAAGACCAAACTCTGTGACAAAGAATATGTCAGGTAACAATAAAGTCTAGCGGGAAACATGACATAACTGATGTAGAAATAAGAGGCCCGAGTATTGTGTGAGGGTTAAGAGTGATGCCTTTCAGATGAGTATCAACGGAAAGCCTCCCTGATGAGAGAGGAGTATCAGATATGCAGGCCCCTGAGTGAATAGCACTCTCTCTAGTCCTCGGCTACCATGACAGCAGCTTCTGGATAGAGTTGCCAATGAGAAGTTGAAATGTAGCCACTACCACTATGAATTCAAGTGTTCAGTGTATGTAAGGCCCCTGCTAGATTCAAAGGGTCAAAGCAAAACAAAAGTAAAGTATTTTCCAGGCCTTACGTTGATGACACGCTGCTGTGCAGAACAACATTATAAAAATGATTTAGGCTAGAGGCCAGTGTAGTTCTCTAAGTTCAAGGCCATCAGGGATCCATAGTGAGACCTTGTCTAAGCAAATTAAACATTTTAAATAGAAAGGTCAATAAGGGTTCACTTATTAAAGGAAATCCTGGGCTGGGCACAAGTTTATGTGGCACCTTAAATGTACCATCAACCTCTGCAGTTCACACGGTCTCCATCCACAGGCCTTTATCTCAAGGGTATTGTTCCCAAGCCACATATGACTGCTGTATCTTCAAACTTCAAGTTCTCTTTCCAAGTAGGAAGAAGATTGAACCAAAAAAAAAAAAAAAAAAAAAAAAAAAAAGGCTAGGGGGGGATTGGGCAAGGCTGTCTTCTAACATGGCCTTTAAAATGATCACAATGTCTTAATTTTTTTATTTTGTAACGGTGTGTGGAGCATACATGGATATCAGTGGACAGCTTCTCCCGCATCCCACCATGTGGGATCCGGTCATCAGGTACTCTTTCATCTTACTAGCAATGCCTTACTTGGAAAAGGCATTAAAGAAATTCTATCCACATGACTGTGTTTTATCTTATAGCAAACGGACAGTTTCTGAAGCTATGCTTTTGCAGCTTCTACCACAGACTGAAAGGAAGTTGTCTGTGGGGCTTGAGCAGCCCAGGGCAGGTCACATACGGAAACTCTGTACAGAGCCTCTGTTCTCAGAAAAACGATGGGACCTGAAGAGCACTCAAGATGGAAGATGCTGTTGGTGTTCTATGAAATGCTACCTACTTCAGAGCATCCTCCGTTGCTATGATAGAGAGGAGGATGGTTATAGACTGGAGCCAAAACCAAGAGAGAATTTAATTTCTCCTTGTCATCAGTCCAACATTTGAATTTCCAGCACACGATTTTCTTTTATATTGTTGATCCTTTCCATCAGCAACCCTCTCCCAGAAACAACTGCAATTTACAAGACACCATTTGATAGCCTGCCCCAGATTTGAAATTCTACCCTATAGTCTTGATGCACCATCCTGTTATACCCTATAGACACAAAACATATATCCCTCACCCCAATAAATTGTTAAACATATAAACAAACACCAAATAATTAGGTTGTCCTTGTCCAATATATATATATGTACATATATATATATATATAATATATTCTCATACATACCTCTCTATCTCGCTCTTTCTCTCTCCTATTGAATTGGAATATAAAATACCACTTTCACCATTGTCTTAGTTAGGGTTACTATTATTACCGCTGTGATGAAGCAATACGACCAGAGCAACTTGGGGGGAAAAATGGTTTCTTTGGCTTACACTTCCATCTCACTGTTCATCATTGAAGGAAGCCTGGACAATAACTAAAACAGGGCAGGAACCTGGAAGTAAAGCTGATGCAGAGGCCATGGGGAGCTGGAGTGGGGGTGGGGGCTGCTTACTGACTTGCTCTTCATGGCTTACTCTACTTGCTTTCTTATAAAGCCCAGGACCACCAGCCCAAGAGTGGCATCACCAGCTATAGGCTATGCCTTCCTATATCAATCGCCTGGTCTTTCTGCTGCCTAAAATTCCAGAGCACAATTCTGTTGTCAAGTAGGGCATTACTGTGACTTTATAATTTTTTTCTTCTTTTTTTCTCCTTTTTTTTGACTTATAATTTTTAAGATCCACTTACACATACAAAATAATTATTATGTTTCATATTGTAATACTTATTCTCAGTGGAACAGTCTACCAGAAATTTTTTGATTTATTCTTGACAAGTGCCAATAGGAGAAAAAAGGAAAAACAAAGGTTTGGGAATTTGATTCAAGTGATACTTGAAGGAAACAGGAACCTTTTAATATTTTGCCTCTCAGTTTAGCGTTCCTTTGTTCTCACATTCTCACTGTATGCACATCTCACACAGAGAGGGAGGACTGATGATCAAAGGGATTAAGACTGGGCTGGTTTAACCCCCCAGAAACAGCTGACCAGACAAAGGTTAACTCTTGAATCCCAGGCATCAGCCTGGGAAGCCAGCATGGGACTGATCAAGAACCCCTGAATCTGGGTGTCAGTGAGGAGGCCTAGGGAATCTATTGAGCCTTGGGCAGCAGATCAGTACCCATCCCAAGTATACACACGGACTTTGGACTCCCATAGAACAATGTGAGGTGCACTCTCACCCTGAAATCTTGGGGAAGGGTCTAGGCCCTGCCCTATATGAAATGACAGACTATGCACACCCCCATGGAGGGCCTCACTGGGGAAATGAGGGGATAACGGGGGGGGGGCTCGGGAGGAAGGGAGGGCGTGGGAGAGGGACCTGGAACTGACTTGTGAAGCAACCTTGTTTCTTATCTAAATTTAAACTGGAAAATAAAATTAAAAAAAAAAACTGGCTTACAATACTGACTCAAATGTATTAGAGACTAACATGCTAACAGCATAGTATGCCATTAAGAAAATGTTTGCTCTTAAATTTTTTGTATTAAAAAATAAAAAAGTCTCAACATGATCATTTTGATAACCTTTGTAGAAAACGTGCCATCAACTTAAACCATATATTACTAAAAATGATGTAACTTTATCTGTGAGAATACATGCAATTCTCAATTCCAATAAATGGATGGCAGTGGAACTGATTTCCTGTCACATCATTTGACATACTTCTGTTTTAACTGAGACACAAACTGGAAAATATTGTTCTCATGATTAACTTACAGCTCTAAAACTTCCTTGTATTTATCCAATCAAAATGTGAGTATTCCTCCTTTTCTTTCAGAAATGTACTTAGTTTTGTATTACAGAGTCATTTAAGAAGAGGAGGGTGTGTCCCGGTGTGAAACACAATGACGGAATTTACTTTAAAATAAAAACATGTAATTAGGCAGGCCTGTAGAGATGATTGGTGGTGATGAGCTCTTGCTGCTTTTCCAGAGGACCAATGTTCCACTTCCAGAACCCAGTCAAGGGGCTCACACCTACCTGCCTGTCCGACCCTCATTCATGCACGTGGGTGCACGCGCACACACACACACACACACACAATTAAAAATAAAATAAATATTTATGAAAACATAATTCAAAAGAAGACAACCATTAAGTGTTAAAAATACTTAATTTGGGATGCAATTATTAACAACTAGAAAGATGAGATCTTTGCTAAGGAATTTAGAGAAATATATATTTCATTGTCTGTGACTATAACCAAAAACCCCTTACTGTCACATTTAGAAAGAAAACAAGTTGATTCTGGCTCACATTCTTGGAAGCCAGGAGGCTACTGGCAGTTTCTGGAGAGGGTCACATGCTTTTCTGTGTGGAGGAGATGAGTGTGAAAGGAAGGTAGTGTCTGAAGAACCAAAGCATGTGTCCAAGAAGAAAGGACTCCCCTGTTGCTCCATATGATCATATTTGCAATTACACTTTAGCATGAGCTTGAACGAGACAAGTCCCACCCAGTCTTCACAATAAGCACACGGTAAGGGAGATTCAGACTCCCCCACCTCGCCCCCCAGAACGTTGCCCCTTTCAGTCAAATGAGCAGTATACTAGCTGTCATGCTTAGAGACATCTACTAGTGAAAATGATGATATTAACTAAACTCAGTGCATCTCACAGCAACAATAATGAAGGATATGCATGTAGGGAAGATGGGAAGGTAATGGGGGAGCCTCTGGGGGCTGTATGATATGAATGCACATTATTCTCATGTGAAATTAACAAAAGCAAACTCAACAGAAGTTAAAAAAAATGAAGCAATTATGACTAGCTTCACCGATCTCAAGAACAGTATTATTCTACATGCGTTTAAGACATAAGTTTTATAGATATTTCAAATGATACACTAAGTGGGAGCAGTTGGCACATCTTTGAAATAGTGATCATTTATTGACTCGTATTTGGTAAAAGATTTATCACCTCACCTGTCCAGCAACAGCTGTGAAGTAAGTCCACATAGAGTCGTCCGCAGGGTAGCTGTCAGAGTAGGCCAGGTACCCAGGGTAACCGCCAGAGAACATACTGGGACATGGCATCGGCTGGCCCATTTGCATCTGCATTCCTGGAATATGACCACTGAAGTTTCCAAACTGTTGATGGAAAAAACAAGCATGGCAACAAAACTTAAGTTAAAATGAATTATTTTAATTTTAATCACCTAAAGACTAAAAATCCAATGGCAAAATCTTCCAAACATATCTGCCACTGAAGCTTTAACTACAGGATGCTAGAATGTCTGTATTAAAATACAGTTCATCAACGTGCTACTCAAACCATAAAAGAAGCATAAAAGACAAGTTTCAAGTCTCTAACTATGGGAATGTTTGTAAGGGAGAGTCTCGGCTGTGTGTGTGAGTAGGTACTCACAGAAGCCAGAAGAGGTTTCATCCCTGGAACGGGGTTGGGGGATGACAAGTTGCCTGATGTGGATACTGGGAACTGAGCTTGGTCCGTAACAGTGTTCTTAGTCACTAGCCTTCTCTCCAGCCCTAGTCTCTAAGAACATTTAAAACAGACAGTGGTTCTGAGCAGGGAGGTGGTGAGTGATGATGTGAGACTTTAATCCTAGCACTCGGGAGGCAGAGGCAGGTGGATATCTGTGAGTTGAAGCCAGCCTGGTCTACAGAACTAGTTCCAGGGCAGCTGGGGCTACACAGAGAAACCATCTCACACACACACACAAAAAACAAACAAACAAACAGGAAACAAGCAAACAAAACAGTGCTTCTGAAACTTCTTAATGCTGCACCCAAGAGCGCATATCCTCTTGTTGTGGTAACCCCTAACCATAAAATTACTTTCATTGCTACCTCATAACCATAGTCTTGCTACTGTAATGAATTGCAATGTAAATGTCTGTGTTTTATCTGTGTTTCCTGGTGGTCTTAATTGACCCCAGTGAAAAGGTGGTTTGACCCCCAGACCTGTCGTGACCTACAGGTTAAGACCAAAACGTTAAAAGAAGAATGTGTATGACTTTAAGGAAAACTAGAAACACATATAAACAGAAAGCAGAGCCTAGGGTTTCACCTGCAGCAAACTAAGAACTACCGTTTCTAGACATGCGCTTAGTCTAAAACTGGGCAAATACAATCAAACATGACCCAAGCATGGGAAATCACAGAGCTGAAGAACCTTCCACAGTAAGAGATGTGGTTTGTTTCCCAAAAAGTATAGTGACCATGAAGGAAGGAAGGAAGAAAGCAAGGAGGGAGGGAGGGAGAGACAGAGAGAGAGAGAGAGAGAGGGAGGGAGGGAGGGAGGGAGGGAGGGAGGGAGGGAGGGAGAGAGAGAGAGAGAGAGAGAGAGAGAGAGAGAGAGAGAGAGAAAGAAAGAAAGAAAGAAAGAAAGAAAGAAAGAAAGAAGATCCCAATCCAAGTAGTCTTCCAAGGCAGCATGAAAATCTACAATGTTACTAATGAACAGATAAAGACCCTGAAGGTCTTTGTACTGCCAGAGAAAGTACTTTCTATCTTTTATGCTGATTTTTTACCAGTCTGTAAGATAAGAAAGTGGTTTGTCCTTTTGCCTTTGAGGATCTGAAACTTCAAGGACTCCAGAACGGGCCAGCTACTCCAAACACAATCTGACAACTGAAGCCATCCACGTCCCGTCTCTAATTACAACTATGGCTTCTCCCTTTTTACTTGGTATAGATTTGAATGCCTTAGAAAAGCTCTTTACTTTGCATCTTTATGAGTCCAGAGAGGGAAGAAGCATCAAGACTGTTCGTTATTCAACTTTGAACAAAAACTGTCTTGTCCTGAACCTTTGCAGCTCGAGCAAAGAGGGCAGAAAGAGAAAAGAATTACAAGAATGAGGGAGAAACAGGGGCATGACTTGGGAACCTGCTGTGGATTGTTCACGTGCCTCTGGGCTCTGGTGAAGTCTAAGGACTGTAGGAAATGCATTCTGGGGGGGGGGTCACGAAGCAGTGACCCCCCAGCTCCATTCACCAGCTGGAATGAGTTATCAGAATTGGCCACAGCACTTTTAGATCCAACATGTAACAGGTGCCTGTAACTCCAAATGGTTAGTTCCTTATGCCAACACTTTTCAAACTTCATTTATTTTGTATTTTATGTGTATGAGTGTCTTTGCCTGCATGTATGCAGGTTCTACATGTGCAGTGCTTAAAGAGGTCAGAAGAACCGGGCGTTGGTAGCACACGCCTTTAATTCTAGCCCTTGGGAGGCAGAGGCAGGTGGATCTCTGAGTTCCAGGCCAGTCTGGTCTAGGCCAGATTCTCTCACTACTCTATACCTTTGGGGCAAGAGACATCAAAAACCTGCCTAAACCCAGCAACTCAGGACTCAAGAGAACAAAACTTTAAAGCAACTGTTGAAACTGGCAAGTGATGCAATCTCTTTGTGCTGGATGTAGCAAATAATCAACTTGAAACTTTCCAAAGGAGATTGGAAACCTCACCCAGATAACCACCTTTGACTTTCAGCACAATGAACAAGACCTCCCACACGCAATAGAAAACCCCTCCCATTTAAACCATCTTGGCCTGAGATACAATAGATTGTCAGGAATACCCAGGTCATTAGCAAAATGCCATAAATTTGAGGTCTTAAAATTAAACAGTAGCATTCTATACTACACCTGAGAGTCTTTGATTCCGTCCTGTAAAATTGAGTAGCTGGACCTCAGCTAGAAATCACTTCCAATTATACCTAGTGGATGGTCCATCTCAGTCTTCCACAATTTAGTCCCTCAACATGCAACACAGTCGAATCAACAAGATCTCATTTCGGAATTCTCTACAGAGCTAAAGTGTAGATTAGGTGAGCTGAATATGAAGGACGATCAGTTAACATTACTTCTTTTAGATTTGGAACTTGGACCAGTATGTTAGGACTGAATTTAGGTACCAGTGGATGTGTCGGACTTATTTCTACTATTATCAAACGATCTACCAAAGATGTTTACCCACAATCTTGGAAATCTTAGGAAGTTAATAGAATTGGACCTAGAGGAGAATAAATTGGAATCCTTGCCCAGTGAAACCACTTATCTTAGGGATTTACAGAAACTGTTTTTGGCCGGTGGTGGTGGTGGGGCACGCCTTTAATCCCAGCACTAGGGAGGCAGAGGCAGGTGGATCTCTGTGAGTTCCAGACTAACCTGGTCTACAAGAGCTAGTTCCAGGACAGCCTCCAAAGTCACAGAGAAACCCTGCCTCGAACATCCCTCCCCCCAACACACACACACAATAAAAAGAAACTGTTTCTGACCAAAAAAACAGAGGACCACTCTTCCCAGTGGCACTGGTCACCTTACCAGTCTCACACAACTTGTCCTTGGAGAGGACCTGCTTACTTATCTTGCTGAAGAAATTGGTACCCTAGAGAAACTAAAACTGTTTGAATAGCCCCAACCTGATGGCCTAGCCTTTGAGCTGGCTCTCTGCAGAGAGCTTTCAATCATGAGCACTGAGTATTCTCAGTCACCTTCCACCTCAAACTGTTGCTGGAGGACCTTCCTTCATTATTCACTTCTTAAAGACGTGGAGGACCTTTCTTCATTATTCAGTTCTTAAAGACGTGGGGTCCATACTGGGTCATGATCTGATACAAACTGCTAGTCCCACACACTGCTCAAAAACACACTCTGATAATGTCTCACATCCACATTCTCTATCTATGTATGCACATATTTATACATGGCACATTTATAAAGACTGTATTAGTCGTTTCTGCAAATAAAAAAATCATACCCAGTTATGTATATTTTTAACTGTTAAAAAAAGGCTTGTGTAATTTTTCTTGACTAAATTTTGATGGATGTTTTCCTGTTGTATAATTCAATACTCCAGTCTGTTAAAATGTTGCCAGCAAATTATGAAGTTATTAAATTTAAGGGACAAAGCAGTATGGTTAGATATGTTTCTCTTAGAATAGGCCAACATTTTTCTTGCAATTATTTACATACACTTCCCCCTATCAATTGTCAGAGCTTTATAACAAAATAGGTGGACTCTTTCCTTGACTTACTTTGAAATCTGAGATTTAAATTTTACATATTAAAGTGGAACAAATCCCTGGGATTTTTTTTTCATGTTTTGATTCACTGTTTGATCAATCAGATCTAGAGTTTATATCCTTTCTCAAATATTCAGTGACAGCTAGTTTAAGCATTAAAATACTTGTTTGTCGAAACATCTGGCAAACTGAAAATATATACTCAGAAATAGAAAACTGCATTAACTTTATTTATTTGAATTGTGGAACAAAATATCTGAACTGAGTCTTTGGGTTCAAGGCATTGACATCTTTCCTAGTATAAATGTCTTAACTTTGGGGGAGTAGAAACTTGTAGTGAAGGACACTGTTTTCTTTTATTTCCTTTCCTGGAAATCGGGGAGCAACAAAAATTTAACTGGAGAAGTTGGCAAATAAATTACACTAAACAAAAATTCTATACTGTGTCTATGGCGCTCGCGTGCGTGAGAACGTGTGTGTGTGTGTGTGTGTGTGTGTGTGTGATAAACCACGATGGGTAACTTTAAAGACCTCTCCCTATCCTTGTACAATGAGATGAATGTCTTTCTTTAAAGACAGCAGTATATGTATGTCTCAAGGTTAGTATCTGCATACTATGATTTTATATATTGCCCTGCCTGGGGCATCTTTCTGCCCTAGAGTTTCCGTATCTAAGCACAATAGCTCCACACTGTGTTGTACTGCTGCTGAATTAACTACATGAATTTTCCCTGTATGTGGCCGTATGTAGGGCATCAGACTCAAACAACTAAGTTCAGGACAATTAACTTTTTTTTTAAGGTTAATTGAGACAGGGTTTCTTTGTGTACCCCTGCTGGCTGTCCTGGATTTCACTCTGTAGACCAGGTTGTGCTCAAACTCACAGAGATTCATCTGCCTCTGTCTTCCCTGCCCCCCCAAGTGCTGGGATTTAAGCCATCCAGCTACTACCATTATTTTTAATATCAGCTTTCCTTTGCTGGTAAGTAAAGAGACACATTGCACAGATGCCATTGGCAGTTTCATGGAAATTATGTTAAGATGTGCATGTACTAATTGATACAAGTTTATTTTTCTTTCAGCTTTAAGACCAGCAAAACTGTAAATGTATGCCCCTTATTTTCTACACTTATTTTTGGTAGTATTGTTTTAAGGCGGCTTAATTATTGAGGAGACCCACAGAGCAACTACATCCTAGATGACACCCTAAAATACACTTCTCATATAATGAATGATTATTACATATAATTACACAATTATGTTTGTGTCTGTTTGTATTGTATTCCTGGCCCATTGTGTTGGGTGTGTACTGTGTTTTAAACAGCTTCTAAAAATTAGAACCATAATGTCAAGATAAAAAATTTGGACGTTGCTTTTCTTGGCACTCAATCTCAGGACTGGGTTTGAGGTAAATTTTGTGATTATAATTAGCAAAATTGTAAGAATCAACTAAGAAATGAAAGACAGGCAAAGACCCAAAGCACTACAGTGCTTGAACACACTATGAAACTATTACAGACATTCACTGGATCTCACCACGTCATCTTCTTTCTCCTGTAATTTATCAGTTAAAAATACTGTTTATTAAATGAATTTGTTTAGTGTAGTGCTACATACAGCTCATGTATATGTGTGTTATTAAAATAAATTTCATATCCAAGTGTACTTATATACTAAGATTATTAGAACTTAAACTTTAGGAGTAGTGGTCTATGTAGTGTCTTTTCCTGAAGAAAGATAGTTTCTAAAAATGAAAATATAGAAATTATAACAATTGAATGCCCTACATTTCATTTTATTTAATGCTTAAAATTTGTAGAAAATACATATGTTCCTCTCATACTTATAATACATTAGGGGTATAACTGAAACTTATTTATTTTGTTTTATTTACCAAGACCAAAAATGAGATAAAAAATTCATTTAGGTCATGTTATAATTTTATTAGTATAGAAATAATAAAATATAAAATGATACATACAACATGTGGATTCTTACTTTATTTTCGTCTTTGGAATTTCTGGGGACAAGATTCTGTACTGTACTTCAGGACTGCCTGGACCCCTTTACAGTCTTGAATTCTCTCCAATTCTGCCTTGGTCTCCAAAGTGCTAGGTGACATAGTGAGCTACCAGACTCAGCTGGTTCTAGCTGGTTTGATTCTAATTTATACAAGTCCTCAGGTAGTTCAGACCAGCCTCAAGCTGAGGATGACCTTGAACTCCTGCCCCATCTCTCAGGTGCAGGGATCAGGTCAGGCCCGGTTTCAGCAAGTTCTGGGGTTCCAACCCAGGGCCTTGAGCATGCTAGCAAACTCACTCACAATTGTACCACATCCTCAGCTATGTTTGATAAACGGTCATTAAACAAACGAGAATTTATTGGAAATGCATCTCCTAAAGTCATGAATTATGTATGTACTTTACTAGATAAAGGTGTACTATCTAGCAGAGAACATTTTCTGTTTTGTTAACTGTACCAAGTATTAAGGTGTGGACTGATAACATTACCTTAAGGGCATGCTCAGGACCAATAGGGAATATACATTGCAAAGTGCATGGTGTTAGACGAAATTCAAACAAGTAACTTCAAGCAAACCAGTTTTGGCACACATGCATTGAAGTTGAAGGCCTAGGACTAAAGCTTACTTTTAAAAATAATCATCCCTTACTCTCAGGGGTAGAAATTATTTGTCTAAGGACCATAATACATGCCAATGTCAACTCCTATTTAACTGTAACAAAACATTAACTTCTCTTTTTTGGGGGGGGGACAAATAAGAATAGACATAGAATACATGCTCTCTTCTGTCCCCACTGCCCCACTTGACAGCCTGCCTCAGTGTGCAGGTCACTAGATGGGAGGAGTCAAAGTTTGGTTTCTTTCGAAAGAGAGAAAGTCTTCCTTCCCACACAAGCCGCAGTAGCTACTTGTAACTCTCAGAGGTAGAGTGTAAAGTTACATGAGAGGGAATAAGCCAGCCCCCTCCAAAAGCAACGTCTAGAAAGTCAGATTGTGCTTGTTACTACGGAAAAGTTTAAGAGGTACTGAAAGTTCCTCTCAACTTACGCCCCAGCAATTTAAACGACAAGAAGAGGTTATTAAAAATAAATAAAGAACTCAACTCGGGATGAGGATCGCTTAGAAAAACTGCCTGGATTTGGGGAGCGAGGATCAGGGGGGCAAACCGCAAAAGGTAACTGGAACAAGACATGGTATTTTGTTCCTCCATTCTGAAAACAAAATTTGTAAGTCACAAACACTTCACACCCCCTGGGTATCTACACAAGGACGCTTCTCGATGCTCTGGATCAGACCCCAACTCGCGGTTCTCCCCTGGGTGCAGGGCCCCGCCCAGCCCCAGCATCTAGCACCACGCAGAGTCCCGGCGTCGCCTGGTACCAGACAGAGGGCACTGTCAGGACCAGAGGGTGACCTCCACATCGCGACGCGGCCCGCAGGGTCGCCACAGCTCGCGAGGACTTACCGCTCCTCCGTATCCTGGGTAGGCCATGACCAGCCGATCAAGAGTCACGAGTCACCCGTAGGTCAACGTCAGCGCTGCTGCGAGGAAGGCACAGGTGTGCGACAGGTGCCGAAAGGTCTGAACTGCGGTGGCTCGCACCTCGGCTCCCGAGAGCCCGCTCCGCCTCTGGAGCCCCGCCCCTGTCCGAGTCTAGCCCCGCCCATCCCAGCTAGCATTGGCTGCAGCCTGTCTCATGGATTCCAGTTCGTCTCTCTTACTGGCTCTTTCAAGTTCTTTCCAGAAGCCTCCTCCACAGTCAGTTCCCCACCCTCTGTGGAAAGCTTCTTCAGGCTGTCAACTCCTAAAATTTCCCTTTCTCTGTAGAAATCCCGAACTGACCGGCCTACTTTTAACCTACCTATCCGTAGTTCTTTTGAGCAGAGAGTTGCAACTTTGCAGTTACTCACAGTTCTATAGAATGTGGATGAGGCAACAGAACTTTGAAACCTTAATCATAGCTGTGCTGCTTTTGATGCCTAATGTGAGAAAGGGTATTTGTAAATTTGTAGTAGTGGCCACAGTTGCCAGAAGTAGCAAATAAAAATACAGGGTGTCTGGTTGAATTTGATTTCTGAATAGATTTTTTAAAATCATGCATGTTCCAAATACTGTGTAGGAATATACTATTTTTTAAAAATGCTGTTTACATGTCTTCCACTATTTGGTAACTTTACCGGTGATTCAACTTTTAAGCAATCTCTTAAGATGTGCTGCCTAATTAAAAACATCAAGAGAACATCTTTGTTCTTATCATTTGACAAAAAGCTGCGACCAGCCTGTTTTTCTCTGAAACTCATGGATTTTGTGTCTCCAGGTCTGGAGTTCAGAAGAGCAGTGCTGCTGTTAGAATTAATTAGCTTACAAACAAAAGGACTGAGTTGATACCATTTCTTTCTGGGGGAAAAAAAAAAAGGAAAGCCCTAATATTAAAAAATAAATGAGATCGCCAAAATGTCAAGTATTAACAGAGGAAATCAGCCTTGCATAGCCGAGTAGTTTAACATTGTTCTGCCGTACTGCAGCGGAAGAAAATTCTGGACCTTGTGAAACTATTTTATCAGAAGAGGCAGAAAGAAGCAAGTTGCTAATATCCACCCTACTGTTGAGAAAGTGCCAGTTTCTGCAGCAATAGCTGTTTTTGTAACTAATATTGGGATAGACTTAAAGAGAAGCAGAATAAAAACCTGCTTGATAGAATGAATGAGAGTGTGACTCACGGGGTACCAACTGATAAAATGTTGGCAGAAGAAATCCATGCCAAGTTTTACTCTAATTGACAAATTGCATATTCAAAGTGCTTAGGAAGGGCTGTTTGTAGTTACAACACTAACGTAAATTTAAAAAGATCAGAATTCCTCTGTACCTTTTTTTTTTTAATCAAAATAGTTTCACTGATGTGTTCTCTTTATGCTGGGAGTCAGATCTCCATAGGTCTGTTGATTTCTACATGTCTACTTTCAAAGACAGTACCCACCCCCACCCCGGGGATAAAATTTGGACTAGCTTGCTAACAGCCCTTTTAAAGAGACTAAGCCTACATAACCACGGACTTCCTCCGGTGCGATAGCAAGCCCATTGCTTACTTAACTGAGACTCTCTGGGAAGCTCCCACTGGTTCAAGGGAGCTTTGCCCAGGCCCCTATTGTACTGTCAGTAATGAAGTCCTTTGTTTTTCATCTAGGCATCCCGCGCCTCTGCCAACTTGTATGCAAACTGGCAAGCTTGTTGTTAGCTTGCAAGTAGGACAAAATACCAAATCCTGATAATGTATCTTCCTTAGAGAAAAGGGGTGGAGATAGATACAGAAAGGATTTTCAGCACCACAGCCTATAGCAGGCTTTCTAAATCCAATATTTAAATTACAAAGTTGCCAGTATTATAAACTATGTTTTAAACAAACTCACTTTAGCCCACAGATTAAAAAAAAAATCTTGTCTCCAAGAATCAGACAGCATTGTATAGGCAACAGTTTTATGAAGATTATGTATGCATGTTTATATTTGTATATCAAACAATATGGAATTTACCAAATGTATGTGTGTGCATGTGTATATGTGTGTGTGTGTGCTTTAAATCATATGCTTTTCTTTTCATAAGCTGTTCCTTATTCTTCAACATGGCTTTCTGTGTAGGTTGAACAACACCAACTAATGGGAACTGTAAGCTATAAAGTCTTATTCCTCAACACAGGACTATATCCGGCTTGTGCAATTTTTTCCCTTTTTACTAGAGTGAAAAGTTAGATGGGCTATAATTTCACTTACTGGCAGGTGCACAGCTGGTATCAGAGAGGAAGGTAGAATACAGACAGTTTGCCTATATAGCCTTGTAATTTTTTTCCCTTTCCTTTTCCCTTCCAACTATGACATTTCAAAATATAATAGGAAATTTTTACAGTAGTGAATAGAAATGGTTTAAAGAACAAGAAGAATGACAGTAGCTGGTGGCACATGCCTTTAATCCCAACACTCCAAAGGCAGAGGCAGGCTGATCTCTGAGTTTGAGGCCAGCCTGGTCTAGACTGTGGGGTTCCAGTTACACACACACACACACACACACACACACACACACACACACACACACACACACACAAATATCTTGGGGGAAAATAATAGTAAAAATACTAGGCAAACAAAAAAAAAAGAAAACGTATTATTTTGACTAAGAAAAACCAGCCTCCAAATAATCAATCTAACCCCTTCTTTAATATAAGATACATGTTTTCTGGTGGCCATTAAGTTCACTTGATTACAGTAATTTAGATGTTTAATCCTAGCCCTGGGGAGACAGAGACTCTCAGATCCCTGGGGCTGGCTAGCACTAGCCAAGCATGATAAGGAAGCTCTGGGCAAGTGTAAAACTCTATTTCAAAACAAAAGGGGGCACTGACTAAGAAAGAGTACTTAGGTTGTCCCCTGGCCTCCATATGCACAACCCACCCCCTGCCTCTGCCACAGAACCATGCACACACACACATACACACACACGCGCACACACACACACACAGAGCGGGACTTATTGGTCGTTTTTAATTTCCCATTTAATTGTACATTGAAGATTGAAAAAGATCTGTTGATTTCAGATGAGGCAAAATCAATAGTCAATACTGGAATTATTAGGTCTGATATCTATAAGGACAAGAATATACTATGTCAGGTATATTGTTGAATTTACACAGCTTCAAGTGACAGTTTACCTGGTAAGGGTGGCCTCCAGCCACCCAACCTCCTAATGGACTATGTATTCTCCTCTTCAGATAGAGTACCTGTGAAAAAAGGCAGAAGACTCCATTTTATAAGGAGAGGGGACTACTCTAAAATGGCACCGTAATGAAATTGAGTTGTTAATTCATGTAATGGAAACAAAAGTGACCTGCAAAAGTAATGACTTTTTGGTGTCATTGCCCATAAAAATAATGAACAAGAAAAATAGCACTGTGACCCAGTAGACTGAAAGTATAGCCTATTAGATATGCAAAGTAATTCTGCTAGCTTTAAATCTATGTAGTACTTGAGAGATCACGCACACAGTAACTCTGTTAGCTCAGACTTCTATGGAAATAGATGCCAGCCTTGGTGGATCAAACAGTAGGAATCCGTTTCTCATTGTTCTGGAAACTGGCAGTTTCAGATCAAGATGCCCTGGGGGCAATGGTGTGTGATAAATTGGTCCTTGAGTCAGTTGCAGAAAGCTGTTTACTCCCTGTGTCCTAACATCATGCTTGTTTGGTGCATAAGGGTGGAAAGAGAGGCAGAAATGTCCATAAGTTCTCTTCTAATCAGAGTACTAACCCAACAGCAGGACCCACTCCTCATTACCCATCTAAATAATTACCCCAAAAGACTCAGTCTCCAAATGAGATCACATTAGCGCATGTGATTTTAGTATACACATTTGAAAGGGGATACAGTTGAATCTGCCACACAAAATTGAGGACAAGACCCATAGTTAAAATTTCTACTGTTAGAGTATATTGTCACCCTCGCTCCACCATGCCGTTTATTTATTTGCATTATGCTAAAGTGCACTCACATGAATTTCTTAAATATATATGTATGTGTACACATAGTTATACTTACTTTCTCCAGAAATCAATCCGTATAGTTTTATGTGCTATTTGTCAATAAAAACAACAATGTAAAATGAAGCCACTCAGTTGCAGTTTTGCTAGACTTTCACAATGGCTTTTTTCAGCAGCTAAATAAAGGTTACTATCCACCAGTGAAGACAGAGAGAGAGGGAAGAAAAAAAAAGAAGCCTTGTTTTTCATTTGTTATATCAAGCAGCCACTTTGAAACCTTTCTAGAGCTAAGCTTTCAACAACAGTTTTCTGCTGCTAATTCTAGTAATATTAAGTACTGTGTTGGCAGAAGCACAAACTTTAAAACAATTTAGCAAATCAGGCACATATGAGAAGTGTCAACAGGGCTCTTCACAAAGGCTACTGAATACACACATCCTGCCTTGGCTATTTAGCCCTGTTAAGCAATTTGGATTCAATGCAAACTCTTAAGAAATATTGATCACAATATGTGTACACAACTAAGGCTCAACACGAGCTGCAACACTATAATTAGTAGCCCTGGGAAAGCAATCTGCTGCTTGGGCAAGACTGGAAATATGTCTGAGGTAACTTTTAACTCCAAGCTGCACGCTTGTGGCTATGAATTGTCTACACATGCCATAGCTTCCTATACTCACAGAACTGAGTCCATAGAGCTGTGTAAGTTAAATGTGTTTTTTTCAAGCACTTATGTCCATTTGCTACTTATTTGCTTATAAATAATTAAATAAACCAGTTACACTGGTACTGAAACATTAAAAATAGTATCATCAAAAAAAGCTCTGATTCTTAAATAGATTATGAGCTGCCTTTAAGATCCTCAAATGCTGTGGGGGGATGTGAAATAAGATCACCCCAAATTTGTAGAACCCTTATTGGGGATAGTCAGGTAATCAGAATGAATAAATTGCAGCCCACTTATTAATATAGCATTCAATGCCTATTACAGCTTTATCATGTTTGACCTTTATATATCTGTCTTGTGAAACACATAGCTCTAGCAACACTGTAGAGAGAAATTGGGTGTTAATAAGTGTCCTTGCTGGGGAAGACACAGATCAGAGCAGT